CAACAGCTGCGCACACATCTATAGTGGAATGGATATGTGCAACACATCTCGAAGAACCACAGTTACAGCAAAAGGTGAGTAACTTTCTTTTCTGGGTGAATGAGAGGGAAAGAATTAAATATAACACCATCTCCTTCACAGATGCTTTTTGTGCTTTCTTTCATTGTCCAATTATGCATATACATTTAGAATTCATAGGTGAAAGTAGTCATGTAGTAGCTCTTCAAAGGCCTTGCAACTGTAGACTCACATTTTTCTAGGTTCAATTTCATTTTGTCCTGCCCATATCATCTACAAAGGTAATTAACACGCTGTTTATTCTGCCTTTCAGATGACTAGTTAAATTGTTATTTTAAACTAGCAATTATTACATTACCTATTGTGCCCCTCCCTACAACTCTGTTCGCAATCCTTCAGACATCTTCCATTCCACATATTCATATCCTGTCCTGTTTGAATTAAGAAATAAGATTTTGTGAGAAACTGTAACAAACACTTTACTTGCTTGTGAACATGGAGATACTGCTTCTTACGGTTCATTTAACTTTTCTTTTGTTTTTTAATTTGACAGGAGCTTTAGCAAAAAAAGGAAAGAGATACATAGCTAAAACTGCAGATGTGCATATCCCAAATGTGTGTGGTACAGAAAAGGCGTGGTCTTAGTTTCACTGTGCAATACTTTGCTCTAAGTGCAGTCTCTCAACAAGGGGCAAGGCCAGAGCACATGCTATATTCATGCATCAGTGATGTAACAGAGCCAGTTATAATCTTACACTGGATAAGATTGTATGCTTTGTCTCTAAAATGAGCACCTGGATGGTGTACCTGGATATGAGCAGCTGTCAATCAGCAGCTATGGGTTGGGTTCTCTTTTGTTCCTTTCACTAGCTTATGGTTCAGAAAGCCAATGTACCTTTCATATGGTGAATAAAAATACAGGAGCAAATTTCTTAAGGTCCAGATTCTACTTTCAGATATATGTGCAGAACATGGAATGATTTCAGTGTACGCATTTGAGGACACAATTAGGCATAAATCTTCATCTGCTCCTAAGTATGACCTATTATATTTCCCATGAGCAGTCATTATCCTCCTGTTCATAACACCGTAACAATTTCTACTGCAACTATCTGTGTTGTTATAAACATGAATAACTATGGGTGTGGAACTGCTGAGCAAATGAGCTCTACGGCCCTGATCCTTATTCATATGCTTAACTTTAAGTATATATGTAGTTCCAGTCACATAACTATTTGCAAGATCATGGCTATTAGAGGCCATGATCATGATTTATGTATTTGTTAGTTTGTTTATTTATTGCCAATATCTTTTGCTATACAGGTCAAGAGAACAAAATATAGAAGATGTATAGTATAAGACAGTTTATAAAGGGAATTTTATTTTTAAATAGAATGTTTAATATTTCCCAGCAGTTTTCCAAATCTCTTTCAGGCACAATAACTATTATTTAAATTAATGTCACATAAAGAAAAAAGTAACAGTTTCCAAACATACAAATATTGTTGTTATGTTATATAACTTACAATGCAAATTTCATTCTGAAAAATCCCAAACAAATCACAGGAATCATTTCCTTCATCACTGAAATGCAGCCTTTGCAAACAGTGGTCAAGACCTAGGTCTAACATTTCATCCAATATGGCACTTCCACAGCACAGCACCTCTTCATATTATGCTGTAGTATTGGGCAAGCACTGACTCCAAGGGAAGAGTGCCAATTCAAAATCATTAAGACCTTATTTTTCCAGCTCCTGGAGTTCACAAATTTTTAAATCCAGTTCAGCAAGTGGTTGTGAAAATCTTAGGGTTTTAAATGGCAACTACAGTACTATTAATTCACAATTCAACAAATTATTACTGTTATTTATTATTTGTATTACTGTAGGGCCTAGGAGCCCTGGTCATGGGCCATGATCTCATTTGTTCTAATTATGTGCTTAAGTCCATCTTTGTTTAGCAAAGCACTTAAACATTTGCTTAACTTCCAGTGAATTCAATGGGGCTTAAATATCTGCTCAAAGTTAAGCATGTGCTAAATAGAGATGGGCCTAGGCTCATCACATTCACCTGTACTTTCTATCTGGACTATGTTAATGATCTTGCAGCATTTAGACGTCTATTCCTTTAGATAATTGTAAAACATGGAATGGTTCTTTTGTTAGGCCTTGACATACATTAGATCCAAAATATTTTTGGAGATGGCTGTAAAAGTGACAAATCCAATCTATGATCCTATCACTAAAGTAAATGGAGTTTGTTTTTTATAACACTTGTTTCAAACACACTTTCTTTCAACCTGTAATCATGGACCTCAGTTGATGACTTTGGGGACCTCTCTAAATATGTTCAAAAAATTTCAGGTTTCTGTTCTTGATTTAATTATTCACATTAGACCTGATTCTGTATTCCCATAAAAGGCCCACTGAGGCATTGCAGGAGCAGGCCCATTATGAAAAGATTATTCTATAACTAATATGCTCAGATTTTTCCTGGCTATATAATTTATTACTTAAAAAGACACTGTCAACTTTGTTTAAAATGACTAAATTAAAAAAAAATCCAGTTTATGAAAGAGCACCCTTTAATAGCATGCTTTGAAATTTGTTTACCCTTCACTACCCTTTCTGTAAAGCCAAAATACCCTGCAGCCATGCACCTGCTTATACAGGCCTAAGATGGAGAGAAAAATACAACTAATAGTTTTAAAACAACCCCTCTAAAAATGCCCCCAAATCGCTCCTCTGTATATTAAAGTTTTATGATTTCAAAGTTTGATGGCTGAGGGCTATCCAGGGCTAGAAGCAAACACTCTGTATCCTTTTGGAAAGGGGAGATTTTTGTCTTTCCAGTGCTATAAAACATCCCTTTACAGCTTGGAAGGGTTGACATATATTGAGGAATCTTCCATCAGGTTGTCTGATGGGTTGCCTGTTTGATAACCATACCCCACTTTGTTTTTCCCTCGCTCTGGGGGACACTCACTGTGATCTACTTATCCTAAAACTGGGACTCCTGTGCTGAATATGTTTCATGAAGAAGAGCCATCACCACTAGCTGCCTTTATGGGGACTGCTCTCAAGAAATGTCATAAATGCGTAGTTAGATAATAAAATTCAAAACCCTCACAATGTTTCTTCATCTCATGAAATACTGTTTTGTTGTACTTGATGTATCTCTCCTATCCTGGCCTCCCACATTCCTAATAAATTCTTTATGGAGTATGATTAGAGAGAATAGCATATATACACCAATAATTCTGCCAGCATCTTTGAGGCTCCTTATAGACGAATGTTTAATTGTTTTAAAATGAAAACAGACAGCCCCCTTCCCCGCTAAAGGCATTTCTATAAGTATTTCCCTGGTTGTATTAGCATTTTCAGCTCTCTAACCCAGTGACAGCAAAAATTTTAAAATCCCATCTATAGCTGAGCAACCCAACAATAATTCCAGAGAACTGGATAGATAAGTTGTGGTGACAGAGACAGACAGATGCCACTCAGTCATCCTACTCTTCCTGCCAATTCAGTTCTTCTGAACATGCAAGGATACTAAAATTTACAAGATACCTACTCTTTGAGCTCATATTTCTGTTTGAATATACTGCCTGCTAACAGGACTGTTACTGGCAGGAAGAGCAGAAAGATAGAGATGTGCACACAGATGTCTTTAATTATTACAAACCTAGTGAATCAGTGTCCCTTTTTCTGCCTTCTGATGTGTTATCTGAGATTCCCCCACTTCCTACACCCCCTTTTTAGTTCCATCCACCATTTCCCCCAAAATAACAATGGTGTAGCCACCTGTTTCTGACCAAGAAGGGTGAATCTGTCTCCTTTTTGTGTCCACAATTGCTGCTCCAGCCAGTGGCCACGGGATTTCTCAACAGAGACAAAAGGTTCTCTCACCCTCCATGGGCTGCGCAGGTTGCCTCTGGATTGCTTTCTAATTCTGTCAACCTCACAAACTAGGGGCCAAGCTTTTGATCCAAACTGTGATACTGCAGCAGTTCAGTGTGCTACCACCAGATTATTAAATTGGTTAGTTCATGATCTTTAGTTTTTACGCTCTGCAGGAGTTGATTGGTAACTTTTGGGCAGGTCTGTCGGAGTATCTTCTTTATTTAAAAAATTAGTAAGGAAATGTTAAACAGGGATATGGTTTGTGAGATACAAGTGCTTAAAACAAGAATATGGTGTTCAGCCTTTGTGGCAACTAAGAATGTTTAGCAACCCAATTTACTGCAGCACAAACAAATTCTGAATTGCCTTTATAAAATCCCTGACTAGTCCCCAAATTATGGCCCTGTTCACCCTTGAGTACAAAATTATGCTGGCTACAACTGTTTGCATGGGAGTTGTGCATGACAACTATATTGCATAGTAAACCCAGTTGTTATATCTTGCCTAAAATTAGATTAGAGGCTCTTTGAGACAGGGATCCCCTCTCCGTTTTTTTAGCACAGTGCAGCCCTAATTGTCTAATGTTTTTGAAGGTAGATGTGTACCACATTCAAAGCCTGACTGATGTCTCATTAGCATCGTTGGGGGGTCATGCTATGCAGAGTGCTGCTGTTAGAGGCCAAACAGGTCAATGCTTTTTGTGTGATACAAATAACAGTCCCTGTCCCAAAGAGATTACAGTCTCAAACAGGAGTGGCCAACCTGTGGCTCCGGAGCTGCATGCAGCTCTTCAGAGGTTAATATGCAGCTCCTTGCATAGATGCCGACTCTGGGGCTGGAGCTACGGCACGCCAACTTTCCATTGTGCTGGGAGGAGGCTCGGGGGGGCCCTGCTCACTGCTCAACCCCATACTCTGCCACAGGCCCTGGCCTCACTCCTCCACTTCCCCTGAGGTTGCTACGCCCTTGCTCCACCCCTTTCCCCTCAAGCCTCCTGCACACTGCAGAATGGCTGATCAGGATGGGTAGGAGGCACAGGGATGGAGGGTTAGGCACTAATCAGCAGTGTTGCTGGTGGGTGGGAGGGAGCTGATGGGGGCTGCAATGTATTACTGTGCTCTTTGGCAATGTACATGGGTCAATGCTGGCTCCTTCTCAGGCTCAAGTTGGCCACCCTGGTCTAGAACAAGACGCTGGTGGATGAGACAAACAAGCAGAGCACAGTGGAGTGTGAGGAAGACAGGATAACAAAATAAGAAGCTGGGGAAAGGTCTGTGGACTGAAACCCTGATGATACAACTCCGTGCTGCCCACACAGCCAGACTTCAAGACTAGAGTGAAGGTGAGCCCATTTCGGCCTGAATTAGCAACTGAGCACAGGGGAAATAAGAATTTTAATCTGAGTGCCAGGCTGCTGCGTCTGGGTTGCTGATGACTCAATGTTTTTTTCTCAACAAAGATAAGTCTGCAAACTTTTTTTATTTTAAAAAAACATTTATTGAAGTGATTCATGTATAAGTAAATGATCTGATGACCGAGACAGAGCAAAAGACATAGCATAAAAGCGCTGTGTCACCCTCACAAACAGATCAGGGCTATTGGGAGAACAAGAATCTACACAAAGGCAAACAGTTGTAAAAGTAAAGCAATTGGGGCCCTGTGGCTGGGATGCCTCCCCAGTGCTCGTGACCCGTGTGGTCTGGCAGTCAGGATAGGATCTTCCCCTCCTTCAGTGGCCTGGATGACTGCTTCTCATGGACTGATCTGCGCTCTGCAATGGCCTTAGCCTTGCTGGTGCTGCAGCTTCCAAAAGCAGGGAACAAGACCTTGGAAAAGGGAGCAGTTCCGGCACCCTGCAGCGACAGACTCAATTGCGGGGAGAGGGCGGGGGCTGCCGTGGGCGTGAGTGAGCGGTGGGGAGGGGGGCAGGGGAGAAGGAGTGTGTGCGTGGGGTGGGGAAAGGGGGTATGTGGCGGGGGGCAAGGATGGGGAGGGGGCCAGCTCGGGCTGGTGTGTGTGTGTGGGGGGGGGGGTGGGCTAGTGGCGGGAGGAAGAGGAGCTAGTAGTGAGCGGTGTGCATGGCGGGGAGGGGCCGTGGGAGGGAATGGGGGGGAACAAGGGACGTGGCTGGGGACCGGCCGGGCGCGCTGCTCAGTCCCGGCGAGGGGGGCCTGGGCGGGGCGAGCACGAGTGACGGCACCGGGTGACTGAGGCTCCCGTGGACAGGGGGGCGCCGTCAGGCGGGCACCAATGATCGCAGTTTGGGGGCGGAGCCTCCTGCCAGAGAGGCGCGCGGGCCCCTCCCACAGCAGCGCCCCAGCCCGGGCGGGCGGGGAGTGAGCGCGGGGGTCTGCGGCCGGCCTGGGTCACGTGACCTAGAGGCCCCACCCCCTCCGCCGCCGCCATGTTGTTTCTCTCTCCCGTACCAGCTGGTGGCTGCAGAGGCGGGACGGGAGCTGCGCAGCCCCGGTGCCGACATCAGCGGCGCCTCCCCCGGCAGGTAACAGCGCACGGAGCCTCGTCTGGAGCCGGGGCCGGGAGGTGGCCGCGCGGGACGGGGCCTCGGGGCGGCCTGGCAGGTGCAGGCGGGCCCCCCCCCCCGGGCTTCGCTCCTGGCCCCGGCCGCTGCCTCGCTGCGCTGCGGGGCGGGCGGTGTCTGCGTTTGTTGCCTGCCGGGGGCCGGGCTGGGAGCCCCCCACCTCTCACTTGCTCTCCCCGGGTTTCCGGGTCTGGCTTGTGGCCGCGGCCGTCGTGGCCCCGCGCGCGGTTTTCCGGGGTCCGGGCCGGGGGCTAAGGGCGCTGCCGGGGGCGGGGCCGGGGGGGCGCTGGCTGTGGAAACAAGCAATTCAAGATGGGGACCGGAGTCAAGCCGCTGATCCAACTTCTTCTGCGCTGTAATGAAATGTGGCGTGATTAGCGATCGCGTGACTGTGGGACAGATCCCTTTCCCTCCAGGGCGCTTTCTCAGCGCCGGTTGAAATCACCAGCCTGTCTCAGGTTAACTCGGTTTCTGCGGGGTGCTTTCCTTGTCCCTCAGCACCTTTCGAAGGGAGATTCCTGTAGACTGACTGAGAAGGAAGGTCCCTAAACTGCGTGGCTTGAAAAGCTACTTTCCCCCAAGTAACTGTAAGGGCAAGCCTAACAAGGCTGACCTTAAGTAGGTAATTACCGAGATGGGAAATGCCAGTAGCTTATATGCTACCGGCAAGCGGGAAGCTCCCTGGCTAGCCTGGGGGATACAGCTTCAATTTTTGGTGACTTGTAAGCCTTCATTTAAAAACTCCCTTTCTAAATGTAAGAATGCAGTGTCGTCTTTCTGACTCTGCGTACACTTACAACCCCAATAACAATTTCGCTGCTGTTCAAAATCCAGTGTCAAGTACTGAATCTGCCAGCATCCACTTTGGTTTCATACTTAAATGATGTCACTTTCATACAATTGCTGCTTCAAAAAAACCTATGAGCAGTTTTTGAGGTAAGCACTGGAGAGGGAGTTGCTCGCAGGAGTCATATATAGCACCCGTCTAACAGTATAATAGGTAAACTAGATGTACATTTAATTATCGATGTTGGCTTCAACAGAGAATTTGGTCTTCACCCTTCCCAGTTCCTATGGAGTTCGGTTTGCTTTTTAAAATACACTTCTTTTATTAAGGGACAACTTTAGGTAATAGGTAGGTCTTGTGATAAGTTCTAAAAGTGGTTAAATCCCAACTCCAAAGTGGGTCGTGAATTCATCTTAATGGGGTTGCCAGGGACAGTGTTAGACTCACTGGGGTCTGGGGTTGAAGCAGAAGCCTGAGTAACTTAGCTTTGTGGGGCCCTGGGCAATTGACCTGCTTGCCACCTCCTGATGCCAGCCCTGATTCTAGAGCAACACAGTGCATAGGGACGTGTAGTAATTTTGTTGTCAGAAAGGGGTCACAGTGCAATTAAATTTGAGAAACGCTGATCTAGCTGACAGAGAACACTGTGTTAGCCAGAGTTACTAGGAAAAGGAAGTGACATCCCAGGGCAAGAAATTATCAGGCACAGAGAGAATCAGGTGATTTGTGGGCAGCAGAGTGGAGGCAGCTGCTGAGAAGTGGACTGCAAAGGAAATACCAGGTAGCAGATCTCATGGATGGCTGTAGCTAGAGCCTGGGAGATATGGGGTCAGGTGGAGTTGTCCTAGAAGAGAGACTGTTTTATGGTAGGGCTGAAGAAGGTAAAACATCCCAGTAGGGAGCTAATTGTGCATCCACATGGAATGGGAGATGCGCAGGTGGGCCATGAAAAGTAATTGTAATCAGCAGAGCAGGGAACAAGACAGAGAAGAAACCACAATAGAATTGCCATGGGAGAGGCTCAGGTAGCCTGTCACACATGTGATAAGCTGTCCAGCAGAGGATGTGAACTATCAGTACAGCAAAGCAACAGGGAAACAATGCAGAAGGGCAACCTGACCAGTGAATTGCACCCAGGGATGGAGGTAGATTAAATCTGAGACCAAGGGCCTATAGCATTGTCTGCAAACTACCTTGCACTGGTTTAATTAAATCAAGTTAGTTAAAAATCTGTGTGGATGCTGTTGTTACCTTAAATCTGTTCCTAATTGATATAAGAAACTGAAATAAATCTGTTTTAAACTGAAATAAGGGCTTGCCTACACATGGAGCTATTTGGGTATAGTTATTCTGAACAGTTCTGTGTGGACACTCTTAATTTGGAATGTGTGCCCACACGAGGAGTCATTCTAGAATAGTTAATTAAAATTGAAGTAGGGTGTGGATTTAAATGTCTTTTAAGTATAGACAAGCCCTAAGTGTCGACAAAGTGTTCTGCACAAGTTTTAACTAAATTGGTTTAAAGTAACAACTTTTATTTTAAAGTCTTGGTTGAGAGGCATGAAGCTGAAAGTACTCTTAGGGTATGTCTACACTACGAAATTAGGTCGATTTTATAGAAGTGGATTTTTAGAAACCGATTTTATACAGTTGATTGCGTATGTCCACACTAAGTGCATTAAGTCGGCGGAGTGCGTCCTCACAACCGTGGCTAGCATCAACTTACAGAGCAGTGCACTGTGGGTAGCTATCCCACAGTTCCTGCAGTCTCCGCTGCCCATTGGAATTCTGGGTTAAGCTCCCAATGCCTGATGGGGCAAAAACATTGTTGCAGGTGGTTTTGGGTACATATCGTCAGGCTTCCCTCTCTTCCTCCGTGAAAGCAACGACAGACAATATTTCACGCCTTTTTTCTTGGGTTACCCGTGCAGATGCCATACCACAGCAAGCATGGAGGCTGCTCAGCTCACCGTCACCATACATCTCATGGGTGCTGCTGGCAGATGCGGTACTGCATTGCTACACAGCAGCAGCTCCTTGCCTTTGTGGCAGATGGTGCAGTAGGACTGATAGCTGTCGTACGTCTCCTGGGTGCTCCTGGCAGACCTCGGTGAGGTTGATCAGGGATGCCTGGACAGACATGACTGTTCTTCTCTTAGAGCACCAAATGGGAGCCAGAGAGTCCAGGTCATTCTCTTCCTTAAGTTTTGTCGCATGGAGATTCAGTCCTGCCTGGAATATCATGCGAGCTGGAGGCTTCCGCTTCAGGTTGTTCTCCCAGCTGGCAGCACCGTGCGGTCGCACCTACCCCTTGCTCCCATGGCTCATGAAGCCTGGACAGTAGTAAGGAGCAACTCAACTGTAGGCTGAGCAAGTGCAGAATGGTGGTAGAATGTGCCTTTGGATGTTTAAAAGCTCGCTGGTGCTGTTTGCTGACTAGGTTAGACCTCAGTGCAACCAACATTCCCATTGTTATTGCTGCTTGCTGTGTGCACCATTATTATGGTGCCATAATATCTGTGAGAGTAAGGGGGAGACATTTATGGCGGGGTGGAAGGTTGAGGCAGACACCAATTTTGAGCAGCCAGACACCAGGGCGATTAGAAGAGCACAGCAAGGTGCGCTGCACATCAGAGAAGCTTTGAAAACCAGTTTCATGACTGGCCAGGCTACGGTGTGACAGTTGTGTGTGTTTCTCCTTGATGCAAACCCGCCCCCTTTATTGATTTTTAATTCCCTGTAAGCCAACCACTCTCCCCCCTTCAAAATAAAGTAACTGTTGTTTTGAAACCATGCATTCTTTCTTAATTAAAAAAAAAATGAGATAATGGACAAGGTAGCTGGGGTGGGGTGGGGAAGGAGGGAAGGACAAGGCTACATTGCTTACTGTAACCACACTAAAGATCAGACTGTTTGAATGACAGCCTTCTGTTGCTTGGGCCATCCTCTGGAGTGGAGTGGCTGGGTGCCCGGAGCCTCTCCCGCCACGTTCTTGGGTGTCTGGGTGAGAAAGCTATGGAACATGGGGAGGAGGGTAGGCAGTTATACAGTGGATGCAGCGGGGGTCTGTGCTCTTGTTGGCTTTCCTGCAGCTCCAACAGATGCTTCATCATGTCCGTTTGCTTCCCCAACAGATGCTCCCCCTCAGCATCTCATCCTGCCTCCACTCTTTGTGCTCACTTAATTCTTTCCTGGGCTCTGCCACTGAATGCCTTCATGCATTCAGCTGTGCAGGAGGACTGCTTGAGCTTGGAAAACATGTCATCGTGAGTGCGTTTTTTTTTCGCATTCTAATCTGCAGTAACCTCAGGGACGGAGATGATAGGGGAGCGTAGAAACGTTCTACGCTCTACGATTCTGGGGGGACTGCGTGGTCACCTGTGCTGCTGAGTTCGCCATGCTGACCAAACAGGAAATGAAATTCAAAAGTTCCTGGGGCTTTTCCTGTGTACCTGGCTAGTGCATCGGAGTTCAAAGTGCTGTCCAGAGCAGTCACAATGGAGCACTCTGGGATAGCTCCTGGAGGCCAATACCGTTGATTTGTGTCCGTACTACCTCAAATTAGACCCAGCAAGGTCGATTTTAGTGCTGCTCCCCTTGTCGGGGAGGAGTACAAAAGTCAATTTTAAGAGCCCTTTAGGTCAACGGAACGGGGTTGGTTGTGTGGACGCAGTCATTTTTAAATTGACCTAACGCAGCTAAATTCGACCTAACCCAGTTGTGTAGACCAAGCCTTAGTGTACCAATAGCCAAGAATGCATTCCTGGGATAGCTTATTGCTGTTGGGCTGTGGCTTTAAGTATTATGGCTTATGGTTATAAGTATCATTTTTAAAAATCAAAATAAAGGGGGCTGGGGAGGCTAACAAGGTATTTCCAATCTGAAAAGTAGTTCATAGTAGAAGGGTTAGAGAACGTAGTAGGGGAAAGGGTTATAATAATTAGAGCTGGCCAAAATTTGGAATTTCAGGTTTCTGGGAAATGTCAACATTTTGAAATTTCTTGTGACCTGGAGATTCTGAAAAAAAAAAAAAATCATTGAGAAGATTAAAACTGTTGCCATGTGGGCTGGTCCAGGCCTAGGGGGTCTGGGATCCCAGAGCTTCTAGACTCCCGGGCTAGCTGGCTCCCAGCGCTGTCTGACTCCTGCAACGTGGGGAGCCTGCTGGCATGGAAGTCCAGCTCAGTGGCAGGGAGTCTGGAAGCTCTGGGAGCTGCAACATGGGTTGGGGCTCTTGGGGCTTCTGGATCCATGCTGCAGTGCTGGGAGCCTAGACCCTGAGAGCCATGGCTTGACCCAGTCTTCCAATTCTGGCAGGAGGGAGCCCCAGAAGCCGTAGCTGTGCTGTTGCTCAGAAATTCCAGGCTCTCAGCTCCATGACAAGGAGCCTGGAAAGCCTGAGACACCTGCTCAAGTTGCCATTTTCAGGGCTTCCAGGTACCCTTATGCAGACCTGAGAGCCAAGCCTCAGTTCAAGCCAGGGCTTCCAGGCTCTGCTGCAGGAACTCTAGAAGCCTGGGGTCACTGACTATGGAGCAGATCGGCTTGTGGGGCTGCTGTGGACTGCAGACTCCTGATACTCACATGAGCCAGCTGGGAATCAGGCATGCTTCCATCAAACCCCTGCCTGCAATTCAGAGAGAACTTATTGAACCTGAAGTGTGTTTCCATGAAACATTTCAGGTTCCATGAATCAGCATTTCGCAGTGAAACTTTCATCTGAAAATTTCAGACCTGCTCTAGTTAGACACTTTTTCTAGTCTCTTCTTGTATTTTGAATATGTTTTAAAATGTAACTAAAGGGTCACACTTGGGGCCCCATCTCCCTCCTTTCAGTAATAGTGGTTCCAATTATAACCCTCACCCTAGTTCAGGGCCCTGAACAAGTCTGTAGCAAATAAATACATAGATTGAGGGCCACAAGCTGTCATGTTCTTTCCCTAGAGCACCACCTCCTGCTACTCCTTTACTCAAAGTACAAGTTTAAACTGGTCAAACACCTGTGAAGCTTGGTGGTTTCTTTGGCACTACTCATATTACAACTTTTAACTGAAATTGTAATCCGTTAATGGTATAGTGGACTATAAACACAGTTGCCTTTAGATACCACATTATTCTTAGTATTATAGCTAGTGTTTTGCACCAGACAGAGGCTCAGCAAGGTACACAATTGTCTTCCTGCAGGATAAAAATGGATGATTTAAACAAATTATAAAATAAAAAAGGTATTTAAATACTTTTAAAGAATAAACCTATTTAAAATGACAAGCTGTATAAGGCCTAAATTTACAATAATCTATTAAAATAATTAAATATGAGGCCACAGATATGTACTGCTTGGTTTTAAAGTTCTCAGACTATTGAACTTACGGAAGTCACTGACTAAGCACCTGGAAAGAAGGCCTGTTGACGTGCTAAACCAGCTTTTGAAGTAGTAGTCTCTTCTGTGGCTGCAGAAAGAATCTTTTTCTCCACTTCAGTTTATTCAACTAGTTCAGTTCATTGATTAGTTCATTCAAAATTAAGAAATTGAGTGGGAATTGAAAAAGCAGGAACGTTTTTCTTCCAAACTATCTATGAATAAAAACTAGGTGTGAGGATAAGAACTACTAATTTAATATCTGAAAGACATGATGACCAGAAACCATCAGTTCAATTCACTACCGACAAATAATGATTCCTTTGTTTAATAAATCAATGTTTTAAGGGCAAAACATGTTTATATAAATATTTTTATTGTGTATCCTGCGCATTTAAGGTAGTTTAATTTCATACAAAAAATAACATCCTGTTTGCACACTTTTAATTGTACTCCAGTTTCCATCCAAATAGAACTTGACACAAATCATTAGCAAAAAATTAATCTAGTAAATAAGAAATGCATCATTCACCATTTTCTAACATACAAGTGTAAAAAGTAAGAATCTAACTACATTAAGCTGTATAATAGTGTATTGTCCTGGTTATCAAAAAGTTCCCGTTTTAGTGTAAAGGATATATTTAGTTGCAAATCAACATGTTTTAAAGGTTACCAACTAATGAGAATTAACCTTTCTTTAGGAAAGAAAACCTTAAAAAGTACAATTGAAATCAAGATTTAAATCTATTTAAATTGTTTTCTGCTTGCCTTTTTAAATAATGATTAAAATCGGTGATTTAAATTGATCCACTCTGTCTTCCTGCAGCCTTATTTTCTGGCCACGTGATTAGGAGGGCCTGTGTAATCAGCTGCGTGGTTGGACAACCATCAGCATTGTTTCATGTGCTGATGGTACCACTCTATATACACATTCTCCCTGCATTCTATCCTCTGCAGGGGTTGTATGGGATAGCGGCTCTCCTTTTCAGTTAGAATGCATTGATAAGAACATGATTAGGCAGCACGGTAGGTGTAGAAACAAATATTATTTATCTGTATTGTAGCCATATCTGTAGTCCCCAAACAAGATTTGATGATCTGTTATGCTAGATTCTGTACAAAAATGCATACTTGTCAGCCATTATTTGATGAAAAGTGGGCACCAATTCTCATTATTTGTACCAAGAGTACAGGAAGGTCATAAACTGGTCACAAAGACACTTTTACTTGTAGTGTGGATTAGGCTTCATATATTCAACTACTAGAATTTCTCAAGCAGTGAATTTTATTAGATATCTTTCATACTGGCTTCAGTATCTATAAAGCAGTCAGGCTCCTTCTCAAGTTCATTTGCACTTAAAAAGGAAAGCTAATTAGTGGTTTTCCTGGATCCCTATTTGGTTTTTGTTTTGTTTTTTAATAAATTTTAGAAATCCCCAGCTACCTTCAATGGTGCAGTAGCCAAACTACAGAAGGGCCTAGGAACTACAGGATTTGGCATATGCTGTGTATTTTCTATAGTGTCTTTGCTACAATGTTGCATTCTCCAGTCTGCCAGCAAATGAAAATGTTTGACAAATTTGTAAATAAATCAAACTAAATGTAAAACCCTTAATTCAATATAAAGACTGTGAATTTAAGTGTTCAAGCCAAGAAACTTTAAATGAAAAGCTCCTGAGGTACTGTACGTATTGTATATATTAAAGCATCCACTTAACAGCAAAAAGATGCAAATTTATCACAGTCTAAAGATGCAGTATTCACAAATGTTGCATTTTATTAAAAATACAGACAAGGTTTCCCCCAAGATTTTAGTGAAGGTTGAGGACATACCTAGAAAAATAGTTTCTGTGAGTCACAAAACTGTGTGTGTGTTTGGGGTGGGGGACATTTTAAATTCCTTTTTTTGGTTTTGTAGTCAAAATCAAATGTGGTATACGTTCAGTATTTGATATGACCTTTTTCTGGGGACTATCCTGCAGGGGTTTGGAATTCAATGATCTAATCTTTTTCCATGTCATTCCTGTTATTTACTCTAGATTAATTTTAAAGATGGAGGGGAGGCTTAAGAAAAGAGTCTTGTGTATGGCTTTTCATAGTAGGTTTTCTTGTTTTGGGGCTTCCTTTTTGAGAGGGGCATGACAGTGAATCTTGTATTATATATTCACAAAACTGTTCTAGAAAAACTGATTTGTGTATCTATCTATCCATCCTTAAACCAATTGGTATGCTGTGTATTGGTGATGATATATGAACTGTCAGAGTAAATGTGCATGTACAATCTCTTGATATATTACAAGTTACTATTTTATGCTTAGCTACTCTTAAAGCAAAATTGGCTGAAACAAATTGGTTACACATATTGCAAATTAATGTCTCCTCATTTGCAGATGCTGAATGATGATTTAAGCTGAACAATCAAGGTAAATGCTTTTTGATGTAATATTGCAGTGTTGTTGTTGCTGTATTGGTCCCAGGATATTAGAGACACAAAGTGGGTTAAAGAGACAAGCTTTCAAGTTACACAGACCTGAAGAGCTCTGTATAGCTTGAAAGCTTGCCTTTCACCAAGAGAAGGTAGTCCAATAAAAGATAGTACCTCACTTGCTAGTCTCTCTTGACATATGTTGATTTCTTTGCGTATGCAGTTATATATCATAGATGTTAACTGTGTTCGAAAACAAAATATAAATTCTGTAGAGTTCAAAACAGGTAAAAAGAATACCAGTTGGCTAATCTAAATACTAAAACATTAAACAGAGTGGGAGTAATTTAGACCCATTATTTTAATCATTTGGGTTTTTAAAATTGAAATTTGAAAACTTGTGCTATTGTGACTTCAGATTAAAATTTATAACAAATTAAGATGCTGGGTTTTTAAAAATGCCTCTACTTAGAAGGATCTTACATGAATTTTATAAAACTTAATGTGGAAAAACAAAACAAAATATTGAAAATTATAACCCTGATTCTGCAAAACTACGTAAGTAACTATGTAACTTTAATCACATAATAGTCAGTTGTGGAAGCATCTGGAGTATCAGGTTCTAAAATTGTATCTTTATGAAACTTTCCTTAGTGACATAAAATCTTAGTCACTTCAAAACAAACTTGTGTCAGTGTTAACAATGAAAAGTTAATTTAGACTTTCAGTACATTTAACAAAGTTATTGTGAGCTTTTTTATCCACCCAGGCTAAAAATTTCAAAAATAGGAGCCCCCTAAACTGAGGCTTTTAGAACTATATTTAAGAATTGTCTGTACATGAGATTATTCTGGAATAACTCCATCTGTGGACACTCTTTATGGAACTGAGTACCATCTGGTTTAGCTTAATCCAAAAGCGGGTTAAGCAAAACCTGAACAAGGCACTCAGGAATGGCTATTGCTCTTCAATTTCACATCCTACCTTGAAAATTAATTCAGATTAAGTGTAGACAAACCCTTAAACACCTGAATGATTTAGGAATAAAAATTCCATTTACTGCAGGCAGCAAACCCTGAAGGAGGAGTACTGCCTGGTTAAAGCTGAAATGCTTCAATTGACTTGAAGTCCAGTATGTCAGAAGGTGGCATTGATTGTAAATATGGCAAAGGCTTATTTGCTTATCAGTTTGTGTTTTAAGTTTGTGTTCTCACAGTAAGGATGTTAAAGAGGTTTTAAGTTATGAAACCTTAGTAGAGAAAAATTTCTGTGAAATCAGGGAAACTTAAATAAATCCACTTTAGCAGTTCAAGGCTATGAAATGGGAAGAAAGACATGACTTTAAAAAACCATGATTTTTAGCTGCTGTGTTTAAAAAAAATCCTTAGTGTGTCTGAGTCCCTCTTTTATACATAGATGCAATAAATGTGGGCACTAGCAAAGTGTCGTGAAGTGATCTGAAAATGAGATTTTTTTTCACTGATGCATTTGTTAGTCTAATGTGCTGTTATTGTAAAGCCTAGTTAACTGATAAAGTAACTTGTAATTAACAAAGGAGGGAGAGAGATATGGGACCATGGTATAAGCTGTAGCTAAGTTGGTTTATAACTAGAAAACATAAACATGATCCTACAGAGACTTTTTATGAAGTCACATGCAGGGCCGGATTAACTCTTCTGTGGGCCCGGGGCTGTTAGATTTTGTGGGGGCCCTGTATACAAGTCTTTTTCCTAATTTAAAACAAAATAATCAAATTATGGCATTGAGGCTATTAACGCTATACTAAACTTGCCTTTTAATTAACATAATACAGTTCTGTGGTTACATTTCAGTCTTAAAACATGTAGAATATAGTTAATTCAAAATAGCCTACTTCTTACCTAAGAACAGCTGTTATATTAGTTTCTTTGTGGGAGGGAGTTTGGGTGCAGGAGGGGGCTCCAGGCTGGGGCAGAGTGTTAGGGTACAGGAGAGGGTGTGAGGTGCAGGCTCCGCCCAGGAGGTGCTTGCCACAGGCCAGGGTGGATTTGATTGAAATCAAATTGATTTAAATCATGATTTAAATCACTAGTCAGGAAGACTCGATTTAATCATGGATTTCTACATAAAAGTGAAAAGGAGTACTTGTGGCACCTTAGAGACTAACAAATTTATTAGAGCATAAGCTTTCGTGAGCTACAGCTCACTTCATAAAAGTGGATTCTTGTTGGTTGTTATAACTTTAATACATATTCTTCACAGCTCACAGATAGATATAGGTTTCATTTTTAGAAGGTACACACTATACATTTTTAAGTGATTTATTTTGAAAACTTTTCAGATTATTTTTTCAGCTATATCAGAAAATGAATGATTATTTGGTTATTTCATTTACCAAAGGTAATTGAAGCAGATATTTATGAAGTCACTGGCAGGTGAACCATCTCCAATTCAACAGGTTAATTATTATTTGGAGGATTTACTTGCCATGCTGTATTAGGACGAGAACATCACCAGACAGACATTTTAATTGTTTTATTTAACTAAAACAATAACATTATGTATTCTGGATTTTTTTCTTCAACAGCAAACATATAATATTTTAACAAAACAGCATATAAATTTTTGATTTTAGTTAAATACTCAAGTTTTTTAAAATCACATTTGTTTTTGTTAAAGTTGTTAACTAAAATAGTTAAATGAAATATTTAAAAAAAAAAATCGACTGTCAGCCAGGTCAACATGAGAAACTTAAAATATTGGCTTCTGCAGCTAACTCAGTCATCTTCATCTTCACCTTCATTTTCCTGTTTGTTCATAATCTGGAAAAGAAAAACAAGCTTTCCTGCTTTTTCAGATCCCAAACAGTTTCTCAATTTGGAATGAATTAGTCCAAAGGAAGAAAATATTCTTCCTGCACTGGCAGAAGAAGCTACTGCTGTTAAAAGTGAGATTATCACTTCAACAGTCTCTGAATCCAAGTGCTTAAGTGACTTCCACCAGTTCACTGGTGTGACTTTCTTTAAAACCTCATCAGCAAATATATATTTCTTGAATGGTTCTTATTCCCAAACTGGGTCTCTTTTACAGGCTGCTGCCATTTTAGGTTTCCCCTTCTAGTGAGAGAATGGTATGATAGAGCTCAAATCAATGAAGGCTACACTCAGACCTCAAGACTTCTGGAATATGCTGCTCTAACAGTTTTGCTTTTGATTCTACTGCCTATCCCTCCCTTCTCACATTTATCTCCAGACGACTTCTCCTTGTCCAGATCTATTCCACCCCCAACAATCTTCTATTCATTGAACTTTTTGAAACTTTGCACTTTTAGAGAGAGGTAAGGGATTGACTCTGTGTACACAAATTTGTGGAGGGACAATAAGGTTGAGGTCTGTTATTTCTCACCTCTATATATTATTTATTTATTTAAAAACATTTTTGCGGTTAACAAGCATGTTACCTCTGGAGACACAAATCCACAGTTTGAGAACTGCAAAATTAAACATCTCTGATGGTATCTTATAGACTGAGCACTGAGTTCCATTGGATAGATAGATTTAACCTAAATAATCTATACAGAAGCCTGTGGAACCCCATAAGATAGGGTCTCTAATCCATGAACTACTGGAACTCATTTACAAAACTTTTCTTAAACATTACATGAATAATTGTCTTTTACTATAGAATTAGAATTTATAATCCCTATTTCATGATGAGATATATTTGAGCTATAATGTATCTTAATTAAAACTATCTTTAGATAGTTTTTTTTCTCAAAAACTATTTTATCAAAAAAATCATTGAATTTTATCCTCCCTGCCACAGGCAGCTCCCAGGCGGCAGAGCAGCAGGGCTCAGGCAGGTTGCCTGCCTGCCATAGCCCCATGCCGTTCCTGGAAGCGGCCGGCTGCTGGCTTGTCTCTGCATGCCCCTGGCGGGAGGGGGACAGTGTGTCTTCGTGCACTGCCTGCAAGCACCGCTGCTCCAGTTCCCGGCCAATAGGAGCTGCAGGGACGGTGCTGGGGGTGGGGAACAGTGTGCAGAGCCGCCCTCCTCTCCCCTCCCCACCACGAGCCACAGAGATGTGCCAGCACCCGGCCGTTTCCGGGAGTGGCATGGGGCCACAGTATGAAGGCAGCCTGCCTGAGCTCTGCTGCGCGGCTGGAGTTTTAGCAGCCTGGAGATCGCAATCGACTGACAGAGGCTCCAGGATCGACCAGTCGATCACAATCGATGGGTTGGTGACCACTGAATTGTATATAATTATGGATTTATTTTTGTGGGGGCCTCCCTTAGCCCGAAGCCCTGGGCTGCAGCCCCTAGAGCACCTGCATTAATCCGGCCCTGCTCACATGCGAGTAGTTTATGCATAAACTTCAGTAGGCTTCTTGTGTAGTTACGCATTGCTTAACATCTTTGCAAGATCATGGCTATGGTTGCATATTTACTAGGATGTAAAAGTTTGTGAAAGAAAATTGGCCACTCTACTACTATTTTCTTGTTAAATGACATTTTAAAAATATTAATGTACTCTAACCTTGTACATATGTCCAGGAGGGCACCACTACAGTGTTGCTTATCTTCAAGTAGTGTAGTCCAAGGATGAATACATTTATTCATCTTGCTGTGGACAAAACTTTATAGGCAGTGGCTACCTTCTTTTCTCTAGTTTTGAAATCCTTTCTGCATTAAGGCTCCCAGTTTTTACCGAACTTCGGGCATTTAAAAAAAAATTTCTTACTCTAGATAGGGCCTGTAAGACTGAGCATTACAAAAAAGTGGGAACTGTAGATGGAAGGAGCCAGAGCACGCCTGAAATTCCAGGAGTCTGGTGCAGGCCTTGATTCTACATCAGCACATTGTCATGTGATATGTATGCCAGTTTATAGCAGCTCTCAATTCTGCAAAAGCAGCTCTGTTTTCAGGTGATATGTATGCCAATTAATAGTAGTAATTAAAACAAGTGGGACATTGTTCTTCATCAGAGAGATGGGGCGGGTGAGGTAATATTGTTTATTGGACCAACTTCTGTTGGTGAGGGAGAAAAGCTTTTGAGCCAAACAGAGCTCTTCTTCAGATCTATTACCTCATCCGCCTTGTGTCTCTCATATCCTGAGACCTACATGGCTACAACTACATTGCATACTGCACTTTAGGGAGGAAGGAAGAAAGACCAAGTGGGCCATATAAAGGGAAAAACCTCCAATGACTGAGTGGAGAATATCCTAATGCCTTTCCAACTCTGACCTTCTAGACAGGTGCTTATTTTGCTGAACTAGTTTGACTTTTCCTAATTGTCATACATTTATGGGGATAGTGGGTAGATTGGTATAGGAACCTTAGGCCATGTCTACACTGTGGAGACTAAAGCCGCATAGATATGGTGGGGTAGGTATACTGGCATAACCCCATAGTGTAGATACAGCCTACAGCAATGGAAGTGACTTTTCTGTTGCTGTAGGATCACAGCCTTCCCAAGCACTACATCTTTGCGGGTATCTAGGTTGATGGAAGCATTCTTCCATTAATTTAGCTGAATCTATGCTGGGGGTTAAGTTCGCATGGCTATTGTGCTCAGAGGTGGGAATTTTTCACACCTGAGTTCTGTAGCCGTGTGGAATTAAAACTTAAGTGTGGAGTGGGCTTTCGGGTTAGGTAGCTTAGGTTGCTGTTAGAAATGTTTCTATGACTTCTTTTGTGTTTAAATTGACAATTATAACACTTCTAGAAGCTTTTTTACAAGTCTGGATGACGGTGAGGAAAACATGCAGGCAGCCAAACTATACCAGCCTTCCGATTCTTGCTAGCAGCAGTGCTGAGCCAACAGTGCAGGAGCTTGCTAAAATTCTGAATGTAGATGTGGCCTCAGTACTTTGAATCCAGTTAAATATGTTGAGTACAAGAAGTGTAAGACAAACATTGTAAATGTTTCCATCAAAGTTTTGTAGTGGACAGAATAAGGTCTGGTAGAGCTCACACATTTGCAGCTGTTGTGGCTGAAGATGTTTCTGCAAGCAGGGTGAATTGGCTCACGTAGAGAATGCAGTCTTCAATAGAAAAAGATAGACCCATAACTGTTTTTAATGAACTTCTGCTCCTTAGGGCATTCTGTGCCAAAATAATAAAAATTCTGCACACAATATTTTAATATTCTTCAAAATCTGCAAATTTTATTTGTCAAATAAATGTGGAGGCTCCAGCAGGGCATTGGGGAGCACAGGCCACTGGCTGCACAGAGATGGGAGATCACTGTGCAGCTCTCTTCCCTGCCCCAACCCCGAAAACACGGACTCAGTGGTGAGGCTGCACCCAACCCTGACACAGTGCAAGAACCTGGCCTGCCACAGAAACACCCCTTGGCCCTGCCCCTCCCTGTGGGTAGGCAAGCTCAACAAGGCAGAGGCTTAGTATGGGGGGGATTCAGGTGTGGTTTGAGAGGGTTGTGTTTGGGGCAGTCTGGGTGCGGGAGGCTCAGTGAGGGATCCAGGTGCGGAGGGGATCTGGATGCACAGGGGATTGTTGGGGGATTCTCAGTACAGTGGTAATGGGACTCTGCAGGGGGTCCAGGTGCAGCTGGTTGGGGCTTAGTGGGAGGGGGATCTGGGTGTGGGTGGCTTGTCGGGGTGGTCCAGGTGCAGGGGGATTGGGGCTCATAAGGAGGGGTGGTCCAGGTGCAGGGGGGTTCGGCTCGGCAGGAGAATCTGGGTATGGGTGGGTCTGGATGCAGGGGAGTTGGGCACATGGGGGAACAGCTCCCTGTAAAAGGATCCCTCTCTCTTGCAACTAAGGGAAGGGGGGGAGGAGAAGGGGGAGTTTGCAGAGCTTCCTGCAGCTGGGGGAGGAATCAGGGGGTAGGTCTGACCCAGCCCCGGATGCCATGCAGGGGAAGAGGAAGTCCTGTCCTGCCCAGCCCGGACTAGCAGCTGATCTCAGCGCACGGTAGGAGCCATGAGCCAGGTCTTCCCCAGTCCTGCCTCACAGTGATGTACCTCTCCGCCAGCTGCCCTGGGCACCCAAAACGTACTGCTGGGTAGGGCTGCATAAATGCTCTTGTGGCTTGCCTTTGCTTCCCCGTCAGAAAATCATTTTTCTGCACATAAATTCGCATTAAGTCATAAATTCTGCACATGCAGTGGCACAGATTTCCCAGAGGAGTGAACTTCAGTCTAGATACAAAATGCAAACACTAAGGGTAAAGTATGGAATGAGAAGATTTAAGAAAACTGTTCTTCTGGTGGTTCACATTTTGATGCAGTTTAAAATAAGAAAATAGAGCAGAACAGATATGTTTGGTTTTATATTTCTTGCTTCTACGAGGAAGCTTCCACTGTTTTTGGCAAATTAATGTAAGATAAATGAATTTTGGTGCTAACTGAAACGAGGGACTAAAAGTGGCTAGATAATAATGAAGTCGGGAACTCTCCAAATGCCTGGCTTTATCCCTATCTTCCCCCTCAGGGTTTTCAATGAATGTAAATTATGACTTATTGCGTATTATGGTCTTTAGCTAGACCAAATTGACACCTGTTTTGCAGACTAACTCTGGTGGTTTTGTAAAGTGGACAGGCTTCCACTATTTCCTGGGAAGAGATTTTCAAAAATATCCAGTAAGTGAAAGAAGGAGTTCAAACCCAGTCTCTAGAAGTGACTAATCAGTGTGCTAAGTCATACAACCACACAGACTATAGTTTGAAGAAGAAACACTTTATAACCTTGTCAAAGTTCGGAGCAATAGCACCTATAGTCTCTCTCTCTATGGTCCAGTGAGGGCACCCACTCTTAGGCTTCTGGCTCCCTAGCCATCCCCTCTCTTGAGTGTAGACATGCATCTCTCTCTCCCTCCTGACAAGGGTATTTCCAGGCTGCACAGCTCCCTGTCTAAACTGTGAATTCCTCAGCAGAGTCAGAATGTGTAAGTTGGCCTGCCTTTTTTTCTCCTCAGAGATGGTAAACCGTACAGTTGTCACAGTTAAGTTACCTGTGGCAAACCCATGCCCATTTATTCTGAAGGTAAAAGCATTACAGAGAAAAGATATCAAAACAATAAAAGAACCTACACGTGCTAATAAGCTTACTGGAGATCACCCCAAGTCCAACAAGGGTTCAGGCAGGTGAACGGTCCTTCAAGCCCCACATGTGTTTTCAAGTTCATAACTCCTTTTGCTCAGAACAAGAACACCATGAATCTGAGTTACTTTATGCCGTTTGGCCCTTTTGATCCTGGGAATAGGTAATTTGCAGACAAAGATCCCCTCCCCAGGGCAAGCCTCCTACAAAGATCAGGTCCAGAGGTGGGTGGGCATTTGCATTTCCCTCCTCCCAAGTATATTTCCTAGGGAAGCTACTGAACAGTTTCTTAGCTCATTGTTTAAAAGAGTCCTTTGAAATTCATAACACTTTCCAAGGTTTACATTAGTCATGTCTCCTAGACAAGTTACATACAGTCCCACAATAACACACATCATTTACATTTCTAATATAATGAGCTCCTCAAATGTTTTAACTTTATTGAATTAAGTTTGTCCAGGATATTACAGGAAATTGCCCCATCTGTCACAAACCTCATTTGAGATTAAAAAAAAAGAACTAGATAAGTTCATGGAGGATAGACCCATCAATGGCTATTAGCCAGAATGGGCAGGGATGGTGTCCCTAGTCTCTGTTTGCCAGAAGGTGGGAATGGGTGACGGGATGGATCACTTGATGATTACCTGTTCTGTTCATTCCCTCTGGGGCATCTGGTGTTGGCCACTGTTGGAAGACAGGATACTGGGCTAGATGGACCTTTGGTCTGACCCAGTATGGCCATTCTTAATTTCTTATCCAGTGGGAAGTGTGCTACTTTTAAAAATTATGAACATATTTAGTCAATTCCTTCTTTTCTTTTTTGCATTTAAGGTTTAGTGAGCAATGGAAATCCTCAGTGACTTGGGCCTAACACTTTATTTATGGGTAATGCATGAGTATGTGAACAATTCAATATTTAACAAAATAAGTTGTCTGTATCACAAGGGAAAAATGTTTGTTCTGAACAGGGTCTCTCTCATGTTACAGGACTCAGAAATCAGGAGGATCCGTTTCAACAACAATGGCAACAAAATCGTCGCTCCTTAAAGTAATACTCCTAGGTGATGGTGGAGTCGGGAAGAGTTCACTTATGAACAGATATGTCACTAACAAGTTTGATACGCAGTTGTTCCACACAATAGGCGTGGAGTTCTTAAATAAAGATTTGGAAGTGGATGGACACTTTGTTACAATGCAGATATGGGACACGGCAGGTCAAGAACGGTTCAGGAGCTTACGGACTCCTTTCTATAGAGGTTCTGACTGTTGCCTTCTAACTTTCAGTGTAGATGACTCTCAAAGCTTCCAAAACTTGGGTAACTGGAAAAAAGAATTCATTTACTATGCAGATGTCAAAGAGCCTGAAAGTTTTCCTTTTGTGATATTGGGTAACAAAGTTGACATAAATGAAAGGCAAGTGTCTACAGAAGAAGCCCAGGACTGGTGCAGGAACAATGGCAACCATCCCTATTTTGAGACTAGTGCAAAAGATGCCACTAATGTTGCAGCGGCCTTTGAGGAAGCTGTTCGAAGAGTTCTTGCTACTGAAGACAGAACAGATCACTTGATTCAGACAGATACAATAAATCTTCACCGGAAGCCTAAACCCAGTTCATCTTGCTGTTGACTGTTAGGTTTTTTTTTTTTTTTTTTTTTTTGCCAATAAAGTTCTGACAAACTTAAAAATAAGAAAAGGAGTAATAGCTCAAATATAAGTGGGTTCCACCCTAATATTATTAAAATATAACATTCTGCTGCTTTACTGGGGGGTAGGGGAGGGCTTCCATTCAGTGAGTGATTTGTTACTGAACTCTTCTGTTTAGAAAGGTGTCAGCTAAAAATGTTCATTTAATACAAATGTGTAATTTGCAAAGTTAACAAATCAAATGATAAATACTTAAATGTAATTCAGAGAAACTTGAAAGTTCTAGAAGCACTACTTTTGGGGTTTTTTTCTGTAATTCAAATGCAAGGAACAAATTTTATATGTATGTATATTTTTATGAAATTAGTATTCCATTTTTGGTTCACTAAAACCCATTTCATAACAATAATGCTAAATATTAAAGAACTTCAGTCATTACATTCCTTTTGATCTGAGTGGTACTTCATCTCTAATGTGATTTTTTTTTTTTAATTCTATATAAACCTTTAGATTTCTGCTATTAAGTACCTAATGTGACTAGAACTACTGTAGATTTTAAGGTGGGAAATAAACCTCCTGCATACTTAAATGTCTGCGTGTTTTCCCTTCATCTGCTCTTCTAAAGCCTTGTTGAATTTTGCCAACAGGTTACTTAAAGCTGCATTTGCACCATACAGCTAATGAGACACGTCATGCTAGGAACTTGATGTGTGGCTGAAAACTGACTTGTATGCAACTGAAGTATCCCCTCCGTTCACAGAGCTGCTCCTTGTGCAGAAGCAGGGCTTCATCTGCTTACATAAGCAGCAAATAAGTTTTTACTCCTGTTATCCTTGTAGAGCTAATGAATCCTGTTCTCTCTCTCTCTCAGATCGACATGGGCAATAACAGAACTTCTTACTTAAATTTCAGTCAGTTACGTCCCCAAACACAGATACATCTGTTCCTGAGGGCAGAGCTTGCAGTGTGGAACCTTTTATTACTGGTGACCCAGCTTGACTGCCAAATCCCATTATAAATGTCCAGTGCTGGCAGTTACAAAATCATCTGTACTAAAAAACTGAACCCACTTGTTATAGATGTATGTTCAATACAGTAAAATAGAACCTCATGCTGTTAGTCACTTTCTAAAAAGAATTGTACCTTTAACATTCTTACTATTAAATATATGCCTTTTCTTAACTTTCTGGGATAGTGATGTAGATCACAGGTTGATGTCCTAGGCTTAAAAGGTCTTGGAATGTTCTGAAACAGTCTTATGACAGCGTTGGGGCTGCTACTGCTGCCTCATCTGGCAAAGATGACTTTCAGTGGGGAAAGGGATTGCCAGGTTCCTCTGGTGCCACTTAGGTCTGTTCTGAGACTGCTACTGATGTCTAGCATAGGAGGGCTGACTAAAACTGCAGATCTAGGCTGAAAAAGTCAGAAGGTTGCGGTTCTGGAACAGCTGTTCACTAGAAGTAGCAGGGGAAAATAACCTCACTAGTCTAATTTGACTGTAGGTTTTAATGACAATCTCCAAACAGATCATTGAAAAACAAAGGTTAGCAAACACTGGCAGGTCCACACCTCTAGGTTCCATTTTACTGCCATGGGTAGTCAGAGAAAAGTGGAGGAGGAAGGCAGGCAGGCAGGCACTCTGCCTTTCATGCCTTTGTGGAAACATGAAGTGGTATGGGACATGTGACCACAACTGACACTACTATTCAATGGTCTCTACCCAGTCTTTAGCCCATGAGTACCTACAGCATGATCCATGCTGACATATTTGAACTATGCACTTTTGTTAACATTTAAGGATGTACTCAGTAAGTACACTGTCAATGCATTAAAAGGATGTGTGTTTGACCAGGTAACAAAAATATTTACCTATATTTACAGACACCTCAGGAATGGAGGTTGTCTGTAACTCTGAAATGTTCAAAACTCTGAACAAAGCACAGTTTGGGCTCCAGATTCAGCAGCTGACACTACAGGCCAAGTTTCAGTGGCATCTGAGCTTTCTACTCAGCCCTGGCTGGCGTAAGTTTGCAAGCTTTTCCTCTTGCCGGCAGATGGTGCATGTGAGAGAGAGAGAACAGCTTATCCCCTGGGGGAGCTGGGGGTAAAAAAACAGTGCATCCCCTTCCTGGCAGGGGCAGTGGTGAAAGCAGTGCAGACCCTACTGCCTCAGGCTGGCAGCCTAGATGTGCTTACCTTGAAGATGCAATGCAGGCAGAGTAGAATATTTACTTTCTGCCTTCCCCCCCCCCTCCCCGATAGTGCCTGATTGGTTACTTCTGGTTTCACATAATGTCCAGTAGCCCAGTGAGTCTGTAAATCCCGTGTTTGTATCTTTGAAGTTCTACTGTATACCACAAGAAAAGCCCTGTAGCCCCACAGATGAATTCTCAGCAAACAAAGGAACTCTTTAGGCCCCTAAGGCCTCATTCAAACAATGTAGGGGTATTTTATTTTTTAAAGCAATGGGGAATTTTAAATCTGAAACAATACATATACAAACTAGCAGTACTGGAGCTGTACACTAAAATACTATGACAAATTGAATTTGTCAGCTCATAGTTGATCACTTCTAAAGCAGTTCCCCATTTGCTATGTACGTAAGTTAGAGTGAAATAATTGCTGTTGGAACTTTAGACTCTGGAGTGAAAAGAATAGGTTCAACAAATCAATTGTTTAACATAACTTTATAACGAAGATAAGCTATGTACTAAGAAAATAGTAGGAGCAGCCTATACTGAAGTCAGTTTTTCAAATATCTTCGAAATGAGAAATCAGTCTCCCACTATCAAAACAAGACCAGCTGTTTTCCACTTAAAAACTTTTGAAAAGAGTCAGCATAAAAGATTAAATTGTCTTCAGAATCTCCACCTGGTGGTTTCAGATTTTACCTTTTACATCTACTGTGATACAGCAGCCTGTCAAAAAGACAGCTTTTCGGTATACAAGTCTATAAGCAACAATGGAGTAAGGATGTCCTGATGGGGAAAAAAGCCCTCATCTTTTACCACATCATAAAATGATCTCCTTTCAACTCATTTGTAGTATATATGCAGTTGAAGTGTCCACACCATGCAATGTCAAATGATTTTATTTGAAAGAAACAGCAGGACCTCTTAATATTATCTTCCAGTTTTCCTGGGATGTTTTAGAAATAAGCATAGTTCTTAAATGAGGATTGGATAAATCTACAGCTAAAACAATTTAAATAACCAATTTAAATGGAAAATGCAAAATGTTTCTGAAACAACTAGGTCTTCAGTCACTTGTATGAGGTCTTTCACATATTTAATAAGCCAATGCTAAGAAATCAGTTTATATAACATGCAAAATAATGGATTACGTGTACTCTAAACTGAACCAAAGTATCTTACAGTATAGCTGTGTATCTGCTTGATATTATGCTATTCATTTCAAAATTATAACTATTTTGGAATGACAGTATAAAGATACCTGCTTGCAAAAGTTTCTCTATTTTGTAGTGCAGAATAGTAAACAGAATGGTCCAAAATCTGCCTTGCACCCTATCCACCCTCACAAAATAGTTCAAGTTCCATATTCAGGAGGGTGCTTCAACATTCAAATTCTATTTACCTCAGTGGAACTTAAATATATGATTAAGAGTTGTCCTGAAAAGAAATGGCGTAAGTTAGGGAAGAATGGCTGTAAATCTTTTGATCTATTATATTTTCTTTATTCCTTCACTGGCACAATGTGCAGGTATAGGTTTCTTGCATCAACCATGCAGTACATTGTTCAGCAGTTTTGATCTTTTTTAAAAAAAAGAAAAGAAAAGCTGTTTGAGAGTTGCTGACTTATTGGAAAATAGTATTGCAAGGTCTTAATTGCCAGCCCCAGATGTTTCTTTAACCACAGCATGCTGGGATGCATCTCTGAGAGCTCACATGACAGGGGCAAGGGGGAATTAGTCTTGTATTGTGCTGTGCAAGAGTTTCCTATTTAGGACTGTGACAAACATAGCAACTTTTAATCCCTTACTACGTTAACCAATATTTCTCCCTTTAGGCCTAACAATTAAGAAATTCCCTATTCTTTGTGCTAAGTCATACAATTGTGAAATACACCCAGACACTAAAGCTTTTTTTGCATTTAGATCTGATTTCCTTCCAACAGGCTACATAAACACGAGATCTGCTTTTCATCTCTGCATTGATAAGGCAACTGATATACTGATGCCTCTAACTTTGGAATACAGTAAGATTTGCTACAACTGTTTATACTGACTTGTTCAGTTAACACTTTCACGACCCATGGCAACTGGAAGGATTTTTACAGTATTTCTCATAACCCCAAAAGCTCAATTTTGGAAAAAAATTATGGGGCAGCTGATTTGTCTTAAGTCTTCAAAAAGAGACATGTCAAACATGCCGAAAACTTACCAGGTTAAGTTAATTACAGTTCAGATTCATGAAGATACAATAAAGTCTCTCTATTTAAAAGTATTCAGCTTAAAAGATGTTTTTTCCCAAGAAATTGCACTTTTCTGTCGAATGCACTTGATCGAACAGGAGAATTGGGTTCATAGAATGGATTCATTGCAAACTGAGGAAAAAGGAGAGAGACTCATCAATAAACAGACTGTTTAGAACTACAAAGAAACAGAGAAATAATTAGTATTCTTCAGCTCTTAAGAGACCAATTACTAAAAGCATTGAACCTTAGCACCAGTTTTTAAGTAGAAATCCCTAGTGATATTACGGGAGATTTCTGTTTAAACTGGCACTGTTCTGAGGCTCAGGTGACTGTCTTCCCCTCAGTGTACTATTGCAGTTGCTCCAGCTGGTGGAACCATTTTAATAAGACTTGTTATTATTTGCTTAAATAAAGACAGTTATCAGACCCCAAATCTTAGTTCTTTCTCCATACCGTAATATTAATTTGACCAAGCTGAGAGGCTGCTGCCCCCTGACCCCATTTGTATATTACAAGAGTTTAAACAAACTGGGGTGAAATCCAGCCCAGTGAGGGTCTGTCAACACCTGCCCCACAACTCTGGGTGCCTCACAATGCCTTCTATTGTAGCTCCCAAGCTGGGCCGCTCATAAACAGCATGCAGGTCACATCCTGAGTGTCTGTGTATTGCTACACCCTTAGTCCAGCAACTCTGACCCCAGCAGCCTGCCAGCAACACTCCAGTCACACTGTGGCTTCCAGCAGCCTTGGTTACTCGCTGCAGGGTGACCCCAACATACACCCAGTCCTGAATTTTCCCCAAAATGTGTTCTGCACTGTCCAGCCCTCTTCAGGGCAGTTCAGATATTAAAGGCCTGTTGCCCCTGTAAGGGGGTCAATATGCAACTGTTTGCTACTTTAACTGGAGTTACCTAAACAGTTCAGTTTAAACACTGGATTTGTTCTGATTAAAAATAAAAAGTTTAACTACAAAGAGATACATTTTAAGTAGGTAGAAGTATAAGATATTGAAGTCACAAATGGTTACAAGATAAAATGCTTCCTAGTAGCTAAAATTTAATGGAGTAGACTTGGCTCAAGGTAAATCCTTACCACATGCTCCAAGTAATATTGCTCACTAAAATCCCAAGACAGGATCCTCCTCCCACTTAGGGTAACCAGGTGTCTGGTTATCGACTGGAAAGTCCAGTCAAAAAGGGGATCTGGCACTGTGTGGTCAGATGTACTGATAAGACACTAAAAATCCAATTACTGCAGGTCGGGGGGAAGTGACAGCCTGGTCCTGAAGCAGTGGCTTCTGTGGCAACACACATGAACCTTGGGCACCCCGTTGAGGAGCATGGTTTGCAGGGCTGCAGTAGAGGAAAGAGTGTGGGGGTCCATGGTGAGTGGGGTAAGGGGCTGCCAGCAGGTATAGAATGAATGTGAGCTGCCCGCCACCAATGCTTCCCTCGGCCAGGCTCTCAGGGAGCTCCGGGGCACGGAGGGCTCAGATGGGCAGGGAAGAGGGTTACTGGGCAGGCAGCACAGAGGGAGGCTGGAGGCTGCCATGCAGGAGGGTCATGTCCTAGCTCGCCAGTGGGGCTGCCTGGCTACAGAGCTCTTCTGATCTGCACTTCCAGGTTGCCTGTTGAAGCTGGGGTTTGCAAGTCCCTTGGGGCTGTTCAGACTGGAGTTGAGGGCAGAGAGCAGCGAAGCAGCGAATGAAGGGATGAGGGGAGCAAGCAGGGGAAGGGGCCTCGAGGGAAGAGGTGGAACAGGGTTGGAGCCTCAAGGGGGTCCAGTTTTGAGACATTAGAAAGTTGGCCACCCTACCCCCGCCCAAAGTCAAAGGGCTGGTTCCTTTGTCATCTTAAATGAAAAAGAGTGTGTGTTGGATCATATTAAAGAAGTTCTGTATTAAAATCACAAATGAGTTTGATTCCCCATAATTAGTAATACCCTGGAATTTAAACAAAGAGGTCTCTTGGTTTTTGGTACTGTTTCTCTCCCTCTATGTGTGAAACTTGCAAGCTGCTGATTGCGTTAGTACATTCTAAGACAGAGTCTGTTCTCAAAGCAATTCACACAGAGAGGGACTCAAAGCAATACTCTGTAACAACAGAAACAGCACCCAGAGACTCCCTGCCCTTTTGTTGTATTAACAATTGTGATTAAAATAGAGATAGAGGATGTATGTGGATGGATAATAACTGAATTATCAGGGAGGTGCTAGCCTAAGAATCCAGTGTCCATCGGCTGAAGAAGGCGTCAAGTGGAAATAACCAGAGGTTCCCCCCCCGGAGGGCAGACTGGAATCCACCCAACAGCCTCAAGAATGGGAGAACCAAAGAACAAGATAACACCTGACGGCTCCGTGCTGCCAGAAATGTGCCATTTGCTGATTGATTCAGCAACAGCATGATGAAGCAATTCCCATAGACTAGCATAGGAAGAAATTCCTATAGACTCTAGAAAGTGAGAACTTTGGGGTCTGATTCTGCAAACCAACTTCCAGGAGCATCAGACAAGGCCCTGCTTCCTCCTCATGTCCAGGCCACCTGGCCAGTGGCTTGGCATGAGCAACTCTAAGGCTGGTAACTATGATAACAACCTTGCAGAATGCATGTGTGTGTATGTGAATAAATATGAGATTGAATGGAATGTTATAGCTATAACTAACTGCTTACTATGATTCTTTCTGTATTCACAATAAATGTGGTATTTTGCCTTTTTCCCTTTAATAAGATCCTGCTGGTTTTTAATTTATTGGTATAACGTGTATGAGTGAGAGAGATCAGGGGGATGTTTTTGCCCCTCACTTTTGTAGTCTAGTCCCCCTTTGGTAAAAGAGTCTCTACGGTTTGCTTGCTAAGATTCAGATTGATCTGTTCCTGCCCCTCTTCGTTGCCAACAAATGGTGACCTGAGCTGCTCATCAACTTTCATGAGACCTGGATAGAGGGCGTTAGCTTTTCCTTTGTCTTTGAGGAACAGGTTTATCCTCTCCCCAGACTAGTCTGGTAAACACACTGAGTCATAATTTCATCTTATGTTCATAACTCTTAATACACATTGTGTCCATACATTTTATCATATTATTGACCAGTGAGTTATTAGTTTTAAAATGGTACCTCACCCCGCATATTTTGGTCAAAGATTATTACAACAGCTTGTAAGGGGTGAATACAGGGTGTATTCAGTCACACCAACTCCCTTAGACTTTAAGTCTCTAATGCATCATATCTAAATTTCACCCACAGGAGTTGAGAAGGTGCAATTTACACCATTTTAGGCTCACCCCTAAATTTGGCTCTTAGTGATAATACCTTCACACAGAAATGAAGGCCTCCCCATGGCCAGAACTGCTTATAATGCTGTGTCAATTAAACCTGCTAAGATCAAGTCTAACAGACACAATATTAACTGCTCTGGCTACAGTGGCTGGGTCTAGACAGGGTTTCCAGTGTGATTAACTCTAGTACAGCTGCACCTGTGGCAATGGAGGGAAATTTTAGAGTTTCCCTAATGCAGACAGTGCTTAAGTGTGTATGGTAGAACACACTTTAAAATTTTACACAAAATTATAAGAAGATCATTCTTACCTTTATATACAAGTCATAGACATCATTAAAGAAGTTTTTAATTCCATCTTCTTGTCTTACATCATGAAGCATAATAAATCTCATATGTGGAACAATTAAGGAAGCAATTTTCCTTCCAAAAATGTAAGATTAACTGTTAGTGACTCTCTGCTCTTCCCTCCCTCCAAGTAGTTTTATAACCAACACTAAATTTGAAAAGTAATGAAAAATCTGACATGGTATTTGATTGACGCAAGCACTCACAGCTTAATGCAGCAAATGCTTACACCTGAATTTTATATATGCAAGACAATGTCCTTTGGAATCTAGAATTTAAAGAGGAATCTCCAGGCACATTAACTGTAGGAAACATTAAATTTCAATCTGTAATTAAACTCCCCATGCTTTTGGGAGCAAAAAGCGTTACTCCCTCATTCAAGTCTTTATTTTGTAAAGAATATCCAGATTTAGAAGAGATTTTTTTTTTTAAATACAAAGTAATGTTTCCATGTACCTGAAATTAGAATAGATTGTCAAATAAATACAATCACTATTTTTACAACATACATGGCAATTAACACCTGGTTTCTGATATCCAAATCAAGTCTGTACATCTAAGTGACCTGAACAAACTATCTATTTTTACTGGATGTGTAGAGACCACCAACAGGCATGTATAGTTATATCCAAGCCTCTTATTTGCAGCTTTCAAAAAGGGGTTGGAATTAAAGAAAACTGTATGGGAAGGAACAGATCTCTCTATTGTTCCTCTCCTGGTGTTATCTTTATAACACTTATCCCTCTGCTCAAGGCAATCCCCCTTAGGGTATTTCTTCTGCCCTCTCCATCCCCGCTCCAGATTAAAATCCATTGTTGTATCTCCCACTTAGTCCCATCTTTTTAGAAGTGATCTGCCTCTGACAAACTTCATCCAGATGTTGGGTACTATCTCTAACCTACCTTTCAGTAAAAATAGCAGAATTAGTTCCGCTCTATAATTGTTTCATTTAACTTATCACTTGCTGGCAAAAGTGAATAAATATAGAGAAAGGATATGTCCTGCAGTGACAAAAGCAGAAACAAACCATTCATTAAACTTGTCCACTGTTTTCAGGTACATGTTGTTAGACAGCCACATATTCTCGTCTACTAGGTCAAGAGCAGCATGAGCTATGAACTGGTTGAGATGACGATGATCATCCTGATATCGTGGAAAACAGAATGAGTTATTTTATATGAGTAAAACCTAAATAAGAATAATCTGCCAGCTGCTGTAATAGCTGTACATTTTCTTACAGCTTGTCCCCTCAACCTTTCTTCTGCAAGATATAACATGGTCTTTAATGAAATACAAATACAATAAGATATATTCCCAATACTTTGGTGTCAGAGGTGAAAGACAACAGGGCATCAGAAAACAGAGAAGAACTAGGGTTTTGTTTTTAATATAGTCCATTTTACTGAAAGTATTGTGCAATAGATCCTAGGATTAAGTATCATGGGTGTAAATGAGTGCAACTCCCTCATGATAAATAGGAATGGCATTAGCTTAATGTCACAGTTGAATTCGTCCCTAACAGTGCAGTGACTATGTAAGTAAATGCAGTTATGTGCTTAGCAGTAGTTTTCTCATCCTAGAATATTCAAAAATGGTTTACTGAAAAGAAGAGCTGGCCAAGACCATTCCCTAAGTGTCCAATAGTTTAGAAACTGTGGCTGTCCTTCCAGCATATCCTATACTGAGGGAATACTGCTCAGATGCTGCTCTCGCACCCACAGGTCCGCTCCATTCCTCATGGTTTTCTCCATTTTCTGATCTGCTCAGATAGGATAGGAAGAGTAAAACTGGGAAGGAAAATAGATCTTTTGGAAGCAAACAGTATCATCACTTCCTTAACAGCTAAATGGGAGTGGGAGGAGGAAAGGGAAAAAAACAAAAACATTATTAAAATGTGACCTGAGATTATGCTTGCCTGCTTCAAACCATTTTAATTTTAGAGTGCAAAAAAAATGAAGTTTACTCAATTGTCAGAGGCATTTCAGCATGACTATACATCTAAAAAGCTCTGTTTTAGGATACATTGAAGATACTAATCAATAATACAAATTAAACTCATTATTAAAACCCCCTTTTCACTTCAGCTCTGTACTCTACGCTTTTTTTTCTTTATGCACCCATCATGGTATGTGTGTTCTATCCTCATTGGAGCCATTATATTACACATTTTCTAACCTGTATTTATTTATAAAGCTACTCAATCAGGTCAATTAACACATACTTTGGAGACCTTATTCAGACCTGACCCAGTTTAAAAAAAAATAATCAGGATTATCATTCAAATAAAAACTAAAACCAGTGGTATTAACTTTGTGCTGTAATATTAATATTTAAACATCAAAAAAAGATTAGAGTAAAACTCTAAACTTAATCCTCCGCATTACCCTCTAGAACAGTGAGTGACATCACACAGTTGCACTATGGAGGTGGTGAGATAAATCAAGGATAGCATGTAACACATCAGGCAGCAACTATAAGTAGTACATACTCGATTCAAAACAGAATCTCTGAAGATACAGAAATGTATGTGTTCGGGAAAGACAGAATGGTCTGGTGTTTAATGCATAGAAAGAATCAGGAGTTATGGGTTCTACCTCCTGCTCTGCCAAAAGTTTTCTATACAAGCAATAATAATATTAGTTACCTCAAAGGGCTGTCCTAAGACTTTATTAATTCATGTTTGTAATGAATGTTCATCAAATAGAAACAGCTATAGCTATACAAAGTATTATCAAAATCTACAAACCTTGGACTCCACTTTTCCAGAAGGTAGAAATTCCATTTCAAATACTGGATTATCATGATGACCGACTATTACAAAGTAGAAACTTCCAGACATTGTCTTCAAAATAATGCCCTTTCCAAGAAAGAAGAGACATGCTTTACAGATGTTTCCAGACATTTAGAGAAGTCCTAAAAAAGAGTCAGCTAATACAAAATTATATTGTACATTAAGAGGAAACCGTGTCAAATAGTTGAGGTAAGCAAGTTTTTGTAAGAGTTTTACAAACTTAAGACATTTGTATATATTTAAAAACATTCCATTGCAATCTAATTCTTACAAAATTTTGCTAGCATACCACACCCTGAAGGCGTAGTTGGCTGATGATGATAACCAAAAGTGGAAGTAAATACGGACCTGCTCCTGCAGTGACTAATGATATGCTTCGTTTTAGAGTAATAGTTCCACTAATAGTATATAAAGTTAAGCACTCAGCGAGTCGTTGCAAGATTGGGGCCTAATCTATCTTTTGTCCAAAAGAGTGACATTCTAAGATGGTAATAAACAAGACAATAGTGCAAAAGAAAAGGGGCACTGTCTGCTTGAAATCTTGCCAGTTTGAGCTGAAAGTTGCTTCAGGCTCTACCTTCCCCGCCCATGCCCATTTCCATAGTTTTACAGCCACGTGTGCCTGTTTCTTTGAAGGCTCTGCTCTCGGAGACTGGGGGGAGGATTACCGAGTAGCTGATACCCACCCGGGGAACAGAGGCAGAGAGAGGTGGGGGGCATTAGCGGGGCCGGGTGGGACATGTTGCTCGCGTTAACCCTCAACTTTCGCGGCCCCTCCCCTGCCTCGCAGGGGGTTAATTGGCGGCCGGTGACAGACACCGGCAAGGGAGGCCCAGTGCAGCAGCCAGCCGCTGCCCCCTCCTGTGGGGAAATGCAGGGCAGGGATTGTGGCACCGGTCACCAGCTAACAGGGCCATGGAGCAGCGATAGGTACTGTGCGGGGAGGGGAAGGGCACACGCCCCGTCACTCAAGCCCTCGCCCCAGGATTGTGACACTTCCACCGCTCAGCACAGGAATTGAAATTAGGGGGAGGAGTGTTCAATTTTACGGGGGGAGAGGGGGTGAGACGGTGAGGGTGGGCTGTATGGCACCATAGTAAAAAAACTGAAAAATGTTTCATGATCATTTTATTAGATTTTAAAATATTCACACAAATTAAAGTTGGCTACTCAAGCCTTCTATGAAGCACTACATCTACATCCTTCTTGTTTTAATTTTGTGCAACTCTGTTAATGCACTTCTTGAATGCAATGCATTCATCTTTGGTTGCTTCTCATGTGTCTGGTACTTCCATTCCTTCAATTGATATGCTCATTAGTTCATTCACATGATGAGGCGGAAGGTGACTTCCTTCAAAACACAAAATTCTATTCAATGATGAAAAAGAACGCTCAACTGTTACTGCTGTGACTGGGAGTAACAAGAGATGAATTCCTACTTCTTTCATCCCAGGAAACATAGCATAAAGATCAGGTTGAGCCACTAGTGATGATAAAAAAAGTTGAAGTCAAATCTTCATTCATTCATCGTAGGATATTCCACTCTGTGTTCAAATTCTCTATTCTGTCCTGAGCACATGGCAGCCCCATTGTTGTTAGTGCCTCACTCCACTCAACTGTCGGTGGTTTATAGGACAGGGATCTGTAAAAGCTACATAGAGGTGGAGTAGAATCTAGAAGTCGCTGTTGTAGATTTTTAAGAATCAAGTCTGTGTACTTTTTCAGTTGTCTTAAACACTTCTTGTCTTCTTCACTTAAGGATTCAATATAAATGCCTTCATTAGTCAACTTCTGGACTGAAGTTTCTGCTTCTTCCAGTACTTTTTCAACGGATAGCTCTCTGATTGATCCAAATGAAGCTTCTATTGCTGGACAAAGATCTACTACTGTTGTAGCAGATGTCTGGATGGCATTGTTTAATGACCCAAGTGGTTTCAACAGTAGCTTTACAAGGGAGAGAATAGCAATAGTCTTCTCTGAACGTAGTAGCAAAAGTAATCCACCAGCCGCACTACTTGGATCCATCCCATCTTGGTAGATACTTTCCAAAGCCAGTAATTATGGCTGAAGTAATTTTAAGACAACAGCCAAGGATTGCTCATGAGAAAACCAGAGGGTTTTCCAGGTTGGACTAATTTGAACTTCCGTCCCAGTGTATCTTCTGTATTTTCCAAGATAATAAGTCTTTTTGGACTTTTGTTGAAAAAAGAATATAATGAAGACATTAAATGTATAGCTTTTATAATGTCTTTTGAAGAGTCTGCAGCTCGTACTAGTGCTAGTTGGAGTAGATGGCCTCTGCAGCGTGTATAGGAGAGACTAGGGTTACGCTTTTCTCTAAGCAAAGCTTGTGCTCCACCATGTCTTCTAGAGAAGTTTGCAGCTCCATCAAATGCACATCAGCCATCCGTTTGGGGTCCAACTGACAAGCATTTAACTCTTCTAAGATATGGGTTGTCACAGATGCAGCCAATCTAAAAATGCATCTACTGGCCTACCACTGACATCAAGATAACGTACACAATGACTTAAGACTTGATGACCATTTGCATTGGTGCATTCATCAGCCATGCAAGCAAATTTTTTGAAAGTGGGGAGAGAGTTCTTCACTTTTTCAACGGTTGAGTCTTTCACTGTTGCACCACATGCATCTAGCCAGTCAGTTAAGTTTCTTGCAGAAAGATAGTGAGCATTTGCTGGTCTTGTTCGGAACCAGTGTTCAACTTCAGGATGATCAAGTGATAATGTACTTAACATTGGCCTCCAGTTTGCAGTGTGTGGTGTCTCTTGCCTAAATAGTAAGTAGGATGCCACGGCCATGTTTGTTCACATGAACTGTGTTGTGTCTCTAGCATTCTTAACAGCCTCATGAACACTCACCGGTGTTGTCTTTGGTCAGTGGGGACTCAGAGTTCAGAGGTGCTTTTACATGAGTTCACCTCCCAGGTAGGGGGCAAGAAGGCACCTTGCTCGTTCCTTCAGCTGCTCACTGTTCACTCTGGTCACTGTTGTTTGTTGTGCCACCGTTCACTCCATCGCTCTGTTGCCAATGGCCCTGCGCCATCACCTTCTGCTGCCACCTGCCACTGTGACCTCTCTGAGTTGGTCTCTTGAGGTTCCACCCAGCTCTCAGTGATTTCAGCTGAGTTCTCAGTAGGGGAACCTTGGCGCTAGTGCAGACTCGGCCGTCTCTTCCACAGAAACGCTGTCCCACAGCAGGTCTAAGCACTTAGACCTGATTCTCAGTGATTTCAGCTGTAGTGGTCACTTAACAAAACAAAAGACTATCTATGGAGCCTAATCAGCTTTGTTTTTAAACAGTGGAGAGGAGCAGGTCTAATAGTACTTGTGACTCAGGCAGACCATCAAGCAAAACACCTTTCCCCACCCTCTCTCCTGATGCCCTCAATCATCACAGGCTAAGTACAGTTCTACTGCCCTTTACTCACACAAAGAACAACAACACTTCATCTCTCCCGCATTCAAGTGATTTGTAACCCAACCCCAGTCAAAATCTATCACAGTTGATTTGTAACCCAACCCCAGTCAAAATCTATCACTTGGGCAGCACAGCTCTGTTTGCTGGATACCTAGGTAGACTAGGTGTGAATGTAAATATGATCTGGAAAGGCCTGAAGCGTTTCCCCCCAGCTCATCACTAGCCATCAGGGAGAGCTCATTTGGACTTTGAGGACAAGCCATAATTTGAAATGATTAGGTTGGCCAACATCACCGAAATGAATGCACTGACATGGTCATAAAAAACAACAGCTGTATAAGGAAGCTAGTCTATGTTCATACTTTTCACATCTAGTATACTTTTTCTATGCACGTATTTTATCATACACTGTATAAGCTTTTAAAGTGTGTATTAATGTTTCAAATTCAATTCAGATTTCCAAACAATCAGTAAATTGGCAACACTGCATGTAACTAGTTCACAAAACTGGGGGAGGGGTTTGGGGAAATTCAGGAGGGGAGTAAACACCCCCATGGGGGGGGGCAGGGGAGGGAAATTCCTGGCCCCCGCCCAGGCGGGTCCCCGCAGAGCAGCTCCTGGCAAAGGGAGGGCCACACAGCAGGGCCCGCCCAGACGCTCGAGGAAGCAGGGACCCCCCCCGGCCACTCACCCACTTGTGCAGCCGCCGCGGCCCCAAGCTGTCCCCGCAGGCTCCCCAAACACCCGGCGCGGGCTGATGGCGTCACCCCTGGTCACCGCGCTCTGAAGGTGAACGCCCAGCCGCTCTCAGCTATCGCGAGAGCGATCGGTCACAGTCGGTTCTCGCGAGGGTTCCGGGGGAGGGGGCGGGGGCGGGGCGGTTGGTAACGGCCGGGCGGGGCTGATTCGCGAAGCGGCGATTAGCCCAGTTTGGTGGCAGGTGCCGTTGGCGGCGCCGCCGCGGCTCAGCGACGTGGCCTGGGCAGTCGCGCGCGCTCCCGGCCGCTAGCCCCGCCCTCGCTAGGGCGCCCCCTGCCGGGACTGGCGGGGCCGAGGCTCCTTGGCTGAAGTTTCGGGTGCGGGGCCCCGAAATCGCTGGAGGCGGCCCTGCCCGGAGCAGCCTCTCGGGCTCCGCATCTCCGCGGGGTCAGCATGAGCCCCCTTCCCCCGGGCATCGCCCCCAGTAGGAGGCGGGCCCCACGTAGCCGTGAGCAGTTCCTAGGCTCAGCCCGGGCCGGGCTCCGCCCCCTGCCCGGGGAGCGCCGGCACTCAACGGTCCCCTGACTCCGGGAGCTGGGGCTTTAGCGAAACAGCCCGTCTCCCGAGAAACGCGGCGATTGCCCCGGGCCGCGGCAGCGACTGCCGCCCAGCTGGTATTTCTGTGCGGAGCCGCATCCCCCTCTGGGTGCCGGCGAGGTGTAAATGGTGCAGTTGGACAGGGCCTGCTGGGCCCCACCCGTTCAATGGTGCTGTGCTGGGGTGGGCTTCTGGGGTGGCTGCTGGGAAGATGAGTAATGATGCTTTGTAATATTTTAGCTCAGGATGGCTTCTTCTGAATTTCAAGCGTTGTCCCAAGACGAACTCCGAAAAAGACTTTATCAGACATTTAAGAACCGAGGTGTTTTGGACACACTCAAGGTGTGTTTTGTTTTAAGCTAGTGTTACGTAGCACTTACCTTACATATGTTTCTCTGCAGTTATGTGGCACTGAAAACAATAGGCTTCAGTGAAATCCATGGTAGACAAACCTTTTTTGTTACATGGTCTTTTCTCTCATGGAAAATGCATATTTTGGCCCCAATCCTGCAAGCCGATCTGTATGGAGCATTGCATGGAGCCCCTCCAGATTCAACAGGTTTTCACACAGGTATAAATGTCCACCTGCATAGATTGGCTTGTCGGATTGTAGCCTTTGTTAGGAGTGTAAATAGTTTATTTCTGGTCTAGTCTGGTCTGGTCATTTACCTGTCACTTATTTACCTTAATTAAGCCCACTAGCCAAAATGAAAATACTTCTGCTGCCATGGTATTAGCCAGGATGGACAGCGATGGTGTCCCTAGATTCTGTTAGCCAGAAGCTGGGAATGAGTGATGGGATGGCTCACTTGATGATTACCTGTTCTGTTCATTCCCTCTGGGCACCTGGCATTGGCCACTTTCAGAAGACAGGATACTGGGCTAGATGGACCTTTGCTCTGACCCAATATGGCCATTCTTACGTTCTTATGCCATCTCCCTGCTGCTCTTTTAAGGACAAAATAGTTGTCTACTCTTTATAATATAGAGTATTTAATTATAAAATATTTAATTTTTAAAATTTAACTTATTTCTCCCTTTTATAATCTTTCTTCCTGATTTCATGCTACTTTCTCTCTTCTGCTTCTTGAACGCATAGCCGAATGGTTCGCCATAATTGCCATTTGATCCGTTCTTGTGCAGCCACAAGGGCTTGAAGGGCCGAGAGTCCAACATTGGAACAGACGTGATGCACCCATATAATATGGTGTCTTCGTCTGGGCCGCCTCCACCCCTCAGTTGGTGGAAGTTTATCCCGGCTGTTACAAGTCACCAGGAGAACGGCATTTGCCAGAACGTCTTGTGGCATTCTCGCAATACGTCCAAAAAGCATAAGATGCTGTCGGTGGACAGTGGCCCCAGTAGTCTGGCCCTGCAGGGAGTGACTGTAAACATCTGCATTACAAATGAAGTCATTCCACTTTATATCCAATATATGACGTTGGAATTTTGGGTGGAAAGCCTCCAGCTTTGCCCAGTTCGGGTGGCATAGTGTCCATGTTTCGCAACCATACAGCAGTACAGAGAGGATAGATCCTGAACTTGATCATTATGCCAAGATTATGTTGATTCCATATTTGTTGTAAACGACCCACGGCAAATGCTGCAATGCCAATCCAGTGGAGAACCTCTGTGTGAGAGTTGGAGGAATTGGTGAGTATAGAACCCAAATAGCAAAAGCTGGAAACTGCTTCAACAGTTTTATTTTTGAAAGAGATTGGAGTCACTGATGGACTTGATCCTAGATTTTGCAGCTTTGTCTTTGACCACGAAACATGGAGGCCACCCTTAGTCGACGACTCCTCCATTTGCTGGAGTGCCTCGCAAAACCTGTCGGGGCTCTGTACTAGAACATCATCCGCATAGTCAAGGTCTGAGCACGAGAGATTACCAATCTTAATGCCTATGAATCTGTTAGAATGCTGCATTACGAAATCCATTGCCTGACAGAAGAGTTCAGGGGCCAAGACACAGACCTAGCTGACACCAGATACTGATTTAAAAGGTGCAGACGTCAGATTCCCAAGATGTACACGGGCCGTGGTTCCATTATGCAGCTCGCTAATCAAGTCCTGTAGAGTGTTTGGGACATCTGTGTCCTTTAAGGCCTTCCATAGTTGGACTCGGTCAACTGAATCAAATGCAGCCTTAAGATCGACATATGCCATGTACAGAGGCTTCTTGAATTTGCAATGTGTCTCCAACAACAAAAGGAGAGCCAAAATGGCGTCTAAATTGGACCTGTTCCTAGTAAAGCCTGACTGCTGGGGGCAATGCTTCCGATGTAGCAGGGGCTTCAAACACTCCAGCTACTTTATCTCCCCTGTAATAAGTCACAGTAATAATTGTAGTGCCTAGTGGCCCCAGATGACATCAGGGTTCCATTGCACTAAGCACTGTACATACACACAGTAAACAGCACCTGCCCCAGAGGGCATGGACTTTAAATAGATAACCAGATAAGGGATGGAGGAGAAAGGAAATATTATTCCCATGTAATGGAGAGGCAACTGAAGCATGATGAGATTAGGTATTTTGACCAGTGGTCACAGAGGAAGCAGGGAGCAGAACCCAGATCTTTTCAGTCCCAGTGTATTTTTCCCTACATTGTTTTGTGTCTGTTGTTTCCTTGTCTCTTTCCTTCCCTTGAGTTTTCACTTTCCCTGTATTTTCTGTTTCTTTTTCCTTCTCTCCACAATTTCTTTCTCTCAGTCGTCTACTTCTCTTTTGTACCTTGTACCATCTATCTTTCCTAGTCTCAAACATTTCTGCATTAATATAATCTTTACTACATTTACCTGTCTCTGTGAGAAAGAACTAGATGGTCCAGTTGCATGGCGCCCTAGTTTCCTCCCCCCTCCTCCGCCCCTATCTGCAAAAGGATTAGTGGTGGCTAGACCACTCTGTACCCTTTTCCCTCTTCTCCTCAGCAACTTCTTGGCCTGTCATTTAGTGGACTAGTGAATTTTTCAAATAAGCTGTAACTGAATATGCTGCAGTCAGGCCTAGTTTACACCTAAAACTTAGGTCGACCTCGCTACATTTCTCAGGGCTGTGAAAAATTTCATGCCCTGTGCTCTTTAATTAGGTCAACCTAACCCCCACTGTAGATGTAACTAGATCGATGGAAGAATTCTTTCATCAACCTAGCTGCTGCCTCTTGAGGGGATGGATTTACTATAGTGATGAAAAAACCACATCTGTTGCTGTAGTGATTGCCTACACTACAGCAGCATAGCTGTAGTACAGCAGTTGTGCCACTATAATGCTTGTAGTGTAGATGTGCCCCGAGACAGTAGCAGGATCTAGACGCCATTCTTTTTGTTTCTTTACATCAGACTTTTTAATTTAATATACTGAATCTGTATGGCTTCAGGAAAGCAAAAAATTCCAGTGTTTTCTCTTTCTGTTGTTGAATTTCTGTTTTTACCAGACGCAGCTCCGAAACCAGCTAATCCATGAACTGATGCATCCAATTTTAAGTGGAGAACTTCAGCCACAACCAGTGTCCAGTGAAGGCAGTTCATTGTTAATTGGAGCTTCCAACAGCCTGGTGGCAGATCACCTGCGTAGTTGTGGCTATGAATATTCACTTTCTGTTTTCTATCCAGAAAGTGGATTGGAAAAGGAGAAGGTGAGCTCTGTAATTTATTATGCAAGGAATATGAGAGATGATATTCATGTAGGACTTTGCAATCGTTAACTGATCCTTCCAATATAATTTTTAAAATCCTCTGTGTAAAGGAGGAGCCAAGGGTTCACCGAGTAGTTTCAAGGCTTGTGAGTTCCGTATTAGTTTGAAACTTCTAGTAGAAATTATAGCTGTTGAGTGCCCAGATAAAGGGGTTCCACACTCAGGATACTTGGTCTGTAGTGTCTTCATTGACACTATAAGTGTTCTAGAGATGGTGAGTGTTCTGCAACTTTATATTCTAAAAGGTAGCCTTGATTCGAACGGATAATTGGGATATAGTCTTTTACATCGACAAGCCTGATGAGACAGTCTTTCTTCCTTCATTGGAATGCTCTTGAGCTGTGAAATTGGGCATTCTCCCAAGAGATATCCCTGACTGCCACTTAGCTCACATATAGAAGCAAGGCAGAATTAGCTCTGTCCTACAATTAGTCTTTGTGTGATAAAGTGGTGGATCAAATCTGTCTCAAGTGTAGCACATCCAAGGTGGATCTCTTTACCGCAACAGAGGTTAATTGCTTGTAATGTTCTTAAAATTTTGATTTTTTTGCCTTCTTTTTTAAAAAGGTGTTTACTATGCAAGATCTTCTGCAGCTAATTAGGATCCATCCAAAATCCAGTCTTTACAAATCATTGGTAATAATTTTGATTCTGTAACTCTTCCTTCAATTATAATTTATGATTGAGTACACAGAATAATAATCTTATCTTTTTCTTCATACAGACTTCAGGAGCTCAAAAAGAGAACAAAAAAGGTATTACATATTTACATACTAGGCATATAATGAGTCATCCACTTCCCCTAATATTTCCCCTTTTCCTTGATAGCTTAGTTTATAATATCATATGGGTAATAGAAACTCTATTTAGATATTGAATACATTTGATTAAATGTTTGATTCTTAAAAGTAATTTGTGATTATTTAGGTTAGTGACTCTTATGCTTCTTTTGGGGTTTTCCCAATTTGTGGCATGTATGAAATGCTAAACCTCTACTCCAAAAAAATTAAAAATTCCTGTATTATAAATTTAAAAAAATTAAAACCTTTAAATCCTGATAAATGTAAAACTTCCAAAGACCGTAATATTTTATAATCTAATGCTGGGGAATTCAGATGTTCTGCATTATGTTCTACTCAATTGCATTCCTGTACTGTGTACGGGCCAGCACTAGGGTTCCCTATAGTTTTTTACATCCATGTGCTTAATGAATTTTGTGCACCAATGTAGAGGTGATGTGGGTGGGGGTGGGGCCAACAGGTTTGGAGTGTGGGAGGGGGCTCCGAGCTAGAGCAGAGGCTTGGGGTACAGGGGGATGAGGGCTTCGGCTGAGGATGCAGGCTCTGGGCTGGGGCTGGGGCCGGGAATGAGGGCTTTGGGGTGCAGGCTGCCCCGGGTCTGTGGCTGGGAGAGAGGACTCCCCCCAGCCCTCTCTCGCCACAGCAGCTCAGGGCCAGGTAAGAGGTGCCTTTCCGCAGCCGTGGCAGCTCAGGCTGGACTGGGCTGGGCTGGGCTGGGCTGGGGGAGAGTTGCCTCTCCCTGGCCGCAATAGCTCCGACAGGGCTGGATCGGGCCGGGGGAGAGGCACCTCTCCCTGGCCGCAGTAGCTCTGGCAGGGCTGGACCGGGCCAGGGGAAGGGGCACCTCTCCCGATTTGCATGGCCCTTGATTGCCTGCTGGGCAGCTTAGGCCTGCACCAAGATAAACTTTCATTTAATTTGCCTCTGGCTCATATAGGGCACAATTTTCACACCTGGTCCCAAAAGTTAGGCTTCTAACTCTGTATTTAGGCACCTAAACAAAAGTGGCTTGATTTTCAGAAGCACCAAACACCTGCAGTTCTTGTTGATTTCAGGTATTGGTGGTGATGGTAATTTGTTCCCTCAATGAGTTTGGTGGTAAAGGTAACGGAAATGGTCAAGGTATGCTGATTGTGGGAGACTCGAGCATGCTTGCTATTAATATACTCTTTTTAGAATTTTTACACTGATTTTATTGAATGATTTCTTGTGTTCTTTGGCAATAATTTCATCCTCTCACCATTTAGTTTTTTCTTTGTCTTGTAAAAGAGTTGTCTCTGCCTTCAAATTTCAGTTTGTTGTGGAAGAGAAAAGTAACTAACATACTGTATCTCTAAGGTTTTCTTATACAGATGTTAATGGAGCTGACAGAGCATCACCTATGTAAGGAAAGTCGCAACACAGAAACTCAGACAAGCTCAATACCTCCTTATAGAGAATCTCTTGGTAAATAGAGCTTTCATAAACTATTTTCCTCAGATAGCTCAATACTGTATCCATTCAGCACTTGCCCATGCCTGAAGTAATAATAGACACTAGATTGCATCCCTCTCTGGTATTCTAAAATAAGCCCAGGAAAGTGTAAGACAAAAGTTTTGCTGTGATTTGGGTCTTCAGTTCAAATACATTATGAATTCAGATCCATCCATCCATCCACCCTAGATGTATTATTTTTAATATTATAGGCCTCAAAGAGCATATGCCTAAATAATTTTTAGTTTATGGAAATTTATAATTAGAGTTGTTTGGGAGTTGTAAATTTTGTGTGTGTATGTGTGTGTGTGGTTTTTTTTTTTTTGTGACGGGGAGCGGGAGCAGGTGGAAAATATCAGTTAATTGAAAATGAAACTTTTTGCAGGAATGTATCATTTTTTTTAAGGAAACTTTCCTGAGATCCAGGATGGAACATCTGGTGAAAATGAGAGACCCACCACAGAATAGTCAATAGCTCAGTAGTAAGGGCACTCCCTTGGGATGTGAATCCCTACATCTCTGACGTCCCATGTGAGTACCCTAACCACTGGGCCATTTTCTATTCTGATGTATGTATATCTTTCTCTTGTTTCTTCATGGAAAAAATCTAAAGATCTCTAAAGTTTTGCCCTGAGGCAGAACACGAACATTTTTTGAGATCTTGAAAATTTTTGCTGGACAGGCAAATTGGTTTTGCCCAGTTCTAATTATAATATAATTTATTAATTGTTTCCAGTGCCAGAAATCATAGCATAAGACAAAAATTGGACATACTGGTAATTCCATTTCTAAAAACCGTCTAGTAGATTTGTTCATTGGAGTGGATTGTTGTTGAAGTTAGTTATACAATATAATTTACAGGCACCTGTTGTTTGAAATCAGAGCTTCATGTCTGCCTTAGTAGCTGATGAGATTCCATCTGAGGGGGTAATATGCAGCAGTTGTGGGGCAGGAAGGTGCCGTTTGGTTTCAGGCTCCTTTATCTCCTCTTGCCCAGTTCCCCTCGGGCACACTTGGGAGAACTGAGAGAGGTTGGCTACAATCCTAATCAGTTATCCTAGTAATTTAAATATTACCTCCAACTTTTTGCACATAAACAATTAGTTGGACCACGTGCCATATTGTGAAGTACTTAGGTGGCTTGTTTCCAACCATGTTTTCATGTCTTAAGTGACCATTTCTTTTCACAGCTTCCTTGGTAGCTTTTCAGTAGAAACTAGGCATGGGTAGTTAAAACCTACAGGGAGTCCTAAAATCTTAGGTAGGAGCAACAGTGTTACTAAATGTAATATTTCTATGTGATGGTACATTGCATTATTCTTTATATAGTTGAGAAACTTCAGCTGATTGATGAACAGTTTGCAGACATTTATCCCCTGCATCAGAAATTTGAGTCTTTAGAAGTGAAACTCATTGAATATCGAAAAGAAATAGAGGACCAGCTTCAAACAGAAATGTCTGAAAAGGTATAACCTAGAAATCAGTGGTCATGGAAATGAGGGATTGGGGATGTGTTCATTTTATTTTGCAAATTTGTAATGCTTCTAATAATTTGAATCAGAAATGAGTCATGCCAATCTATTATATATGCAAAAACTACATGTTCTCTGTTGGGGGTAAAAGTTGGGAAACTGAGTCATAAATCCACCCGATTTAAGCTGAGTCAATTTTTGCCTTTATTTATACAATTTCAGACAGAATTGTTGTCATGTATAGTATCCGGCCATACATATGTATCGGACAAATAACAGAGAAGACAGAATTGGTAACCACATTCTGGGCCATCTTCCATGATAGTTGTCGTTTCTCTGATCCCTTTTTCTGGTTCTTCAGTCCTATTTTTCAGTTTCTGATCTGGTGTTTCTCCAGTTAGTAAACATGGGCCCGTAGGTCTTTTATACAGTTCTACATTATAGATTACTTAATATTTATCCAGTCAGCTTTTACATCAGCACATCAACCTTTTACATTTTAAGTAACCCGTACGTTACACATGCGCAAGATTCAGTTACCCAACTTCTGCATTTTTCCCTGCTGGTTTTGCAGTTTCTGTTTTTGTGTCACCCTGCCCTGGGTCTTCCCAAGAAAAGGGTTAATTTAGTTATTACATGTTTGTGTGTCTTTTACTTACTACTTCCAACACCATGTGTTACCTTTGTTCTGTTAACAATAACATGTTAAGCAGATTAGCAATTTTGTGTAAAAGAAGAATTGGCAAAACCACACTTATGCCACCAAAGCCTTGGCCTAAGTGTTACCTTATCTACAGTCATTCATTATACATAACTACATTTTTGAAAGATTTATAATTATCAAAGCTCTTAATCTTACTATTAACAAGTCTTCTTTTTATATTTCAGTGTTATAAATCAGTATATGTTGTTCTGTGCTACCCTTAATCTATTAGAAAGGGAAGTATGAGTTATGGAAAATGTGATGATTCTTTAATGTCAGCATTTCTTATCTTTTTTTAAACATGTTTTTTCATTCAATGTCCAGTTCATTCAAACTTCATGCATCTGAAGAAGTGGATTTTTTTGCCCACGAAAGCTTATGCCCAAATAAATCTGTTAGTCTTTAAGGTGCCACCAGACTCCTCATTGTTTTTGAAAATATCTCACCAAACTACATAGTAAAAGCCTCCAAAACAGCATTGCCTTTACATGGAGAATAGAAAAATCATAAAATGTGAAAAATATTGTGGATCTCATGATTTTAGGATCTTTTGCAATTTTTGTCTGCATTCTGCAATATTTTGCAAATTTTAAGATTGTCTTAAAATAAACTGAATTTATATCATCTAAACAATAATAGCAATAAGAGGTAATTCACCATTCTTCATCGCTATGAACCTCACTGAAGTTCAAGCTTTAAAGCCTAATTGGGACCGAAATGCAATCTTTATTAAAAACATAAAGCAATCTTTTTCTTAAAAACAAGAAAATTACATGCAAAAAATGTCACATAAAATAAATAATTCAAGTATTAGGAAAAGTTAAGCTTCTTACTACAATATTGATTTGGAAACAATTACTATACTGTAGATATTATGGTATACGTTTAACAAGAAAAACAGAAATGGAAAATATTACGTGTGCAGCATAGTCAAGTTAATGTTGCAACATTGATGTTGTGTTAACATAAGATCCTCTATGAAATATCACAAAAGGACTGGGACTTCATTTGGTTGTGCTAAAAATTTGTGCCCATTGAACGTGCTCAGACTTTTAGTCAGAATTTAACTTCCCCCTTTCCTTTATAAAGTCATTTCTTTCCCGAAATACCGTATGCAAAGTATCAACTTTCAAAGTTCAGCCATATCTTAATGTCATGGAGAAATAAAAAGACAGTCACAATAAATAATAGAGCATTTTGTTTTTTATGTTATAACCCAAAACAACTGAATATAATTACCTCAAGTTTAACAAAAAATCCCTTTGGACAACACGTCTACAACAGATCCTTGAGAGCTGCTCTTAGATATGGGGATACAATATAAGCAAACCTCTTGTATCATCTTTCTTTAGGGGGGTAAATATATCAGAACTTCCTGGTGCCTTGTTTACATCAGCTGAATTAGTGGTAGCACTAGTGGGGATTTTTTGTGTATAATTCCCCAATATAGACATGATCTTACTGTCACTAAAGGCTTCGGCAAGTTTTTGTGTAGAAACCTTTGCACTGGTTTAGTTAAATTGGTGCAACCCTTTGTGTGGACAATCATAAATCAGTTTAGAAATGGCTTATAGCAATTTAGTTTAAATTGATTCCTTAGTGTCTTAAGGTGTAAATTAAATCAATATAAGCCATCTATAAACAATTCTAAGTGTCTCCACACTTGGGGTTGCACATGGTTTAACTAACTCAGTACAAGTTTGTGTGTGCATAGGCCCTAATTCCCTAATCAGAGGTCCCAGGCTATGCTTTTTTCCTATGTAACTTCTGTCTTCTCTCTGTTTTCACATTTTCCCTATTCTCTTTCATTTAGTACTCCCATTCATTCTCTCCTTCACTTGCATTCTCTCATCCATTTTCTCTCTGACTTTCTCTTATGCATCCTTGCAATCCCATTTATTTTCTTTCCTTCCCACTCATACATGTACACTCACACACTTTCTCTTCCCTAGGCAGAAATGCATGCACATTCCTCAGATAGCTCAATCCCTCTTTGTCATACACACTCGAACAGACCCCCTAAGTCTTCCGTTTGTATTCACACAGTTTTCCCATAGTGCTCAGAATTCCCTGGCTAAGGACGACTCCTCTTTCTCTGGCCCACATCTGCTCTGTGCCCAAAAGATTGACTTTCAGTGGGCATGAGCTGTTCAAGGCAGGTCTGCTTCTGCCTTTGGCCCCACCACCAGGCAAACATGGTTCTTTGGGAATGGGGCGAGAATGGAGACCCAGTCAGAAGAAGAATTAGGGAATGTGGCATTCTTTATTTGCCAGTCACAGAGCGTCAGGTTGGAGAGTGGGACATTTAATTAGCTGCCTTACCTGATCTCTTGCTCTGTTCCCCTGCTGTATGTACTGGAGTGAGTAAAAAAAAATGAGAGCACAGAGAGCAGTGGAAACCCCTTTAGTGCAATGCCCTATATCTAGCTTACTTACGCCTAAAGGTGATATTATCTATATTTGTAATCTGCTTTGAGATCCTAGATGGAAGGTGTAAATATGGAAGACCTTTCAGTCATATATGCTTCAAAGGTACTTTTATCACAGAGAAGTTTACATACATTGACTAAAAAGATTAACACATTTAATTAGACATTTCTGTATAGTTTCTCAAAGGGAATTCAGTATGCTACAGTGATCAACAGTGTAAACAAGCTATTTGCAAGTAAGTGCATATGTCTGAACGTCAAATTTAACCTAAAAGAGAGGATTTTGTTTATCTTTTTTGTGATCAAGTGAGGGATATTTACTTTGTTCTTTTCTTACATGTAACAGTTACAACATTTCAAAGAGGTTGAAATAGCAAAGGTTCGAATGGAAGAGAAAGCACGATGCCAGAAAGAAGTTTCTGATTTGCGTCGAGAGTTTGAAAGGACAAACCAAGCCAAGTCAGAGGCTCTGATTGCTCGTGAAAAGAATGCTATTGAAAGACTTCAAAAACAACAGGAGGTAATGTTTAAAAATAATAATTGGATCCAGTGCTAAGTGGTTCAGTTAGTTAATGAAATTGCCCTTTGATCTTTGAAGGAACTACATTCAGATCCCACTGGGTCCTAAGTGAAAAAGAGTTCAATAGTTCTCTTTTAATCCCACATCAGGAAAGCACCACGCAGATTGGTATGTTTAGTGATTTCAGGTTCTCAGTGACCATGGTGATGAGTATGGTATAAATATGTAAATAGATTGGAGTAGCCGCGGTGCTGCAGAAGAAGAGTAAATGTAATATAGATATCGTTATATGTATGAATCCCTATTCTCCTTTCAGAGTATTGAGGATATTTTTAATGGCAGTCCTAGATGGCTACTTTGTAGGTTTTTCTTTTCTGTTTATTATGGTTGTTATGATTTTCTTATTGTAGTTTTCTTTTTAGAAGTTGAAATAGAAAAAAATATAAATAAAATGGAACACAGTATTCATGGTGTGGACATACCATCCATGTATATAATTACATTATTATCTATTCGGTATCATGCATTGATCAGATGTGTGAGTCCATGACTTCGAGATCTTTTTACAGCATGGTAATTTAATCCACTGTTAATTTAGTATCCAAAAATGTGTATGTGTGGTTCAGATTGTTCTTCCCAATGTTTATTACTTTTCTCTTGATTACAAGGAATTTTGCCTGCCACCATGTTGCTGTCTTGGATCTGCTCTATTCTTTACTAAACAAAATAATTTTGTGTCATCTACAGATTTTTGCCACCTTACTGTTTCCCTCTCTTTCCAGAACATTAATTTTTATATTGAGTAACACCAGTCCTAATGACAGGTTTCAGAGTAACAGCCGTGTAGTCTGTATTCGCAAAAAGAAAAGGAGGACTTGTGGCACCTTAGAGACTAACCAATTTATTTGAGCATAAGCTTTCGTGAGCTACAGCTCACTTCATCGGATGCATACTGTGGAAAGTATAGAAGATCTTTTTACACACACAAAGCATGAAAAAATGGGTGTTTACCACTACAAAAGGTTTTCTCTCCCCCCATGCCACTCTCCTGCTGGTAATAGCTTATATTTTAGATATACTTTAGATCTTCTATACTTTCCACAGTATGCATCCGATGAAGTGAGCTGTAGTTCACGAAAGCTTATGCTCAAATAAATTGGTTAGTCTCTAAGGTGCCACAAGTACTCCTTTTCTTTTTACCAATCCTAATATGGATTTTTGAGCACTTTGCTTTTGACCTCCTGTGATGCTGAAAATTAGCTATTTTATTCCTCTTTTCTGTATTTTGTTTTTCTGGTCCATGACAAAACTTTGCCTCTCACCCTGTGACAACTTGATTTCCTTCATAGTCATGTCCTTAGAAACTTTTATGAAATCTGCCTACCTTATGCTATTACTCCGACTTTCAGGAACATGAAATTAATTCAGTTATTAAAAAAGGTCTGGATCAGAAGATTTGTCAAGTGAACCATTGTGGATGCTGGGTGCTATTGTCAGTTTTTGATCTTTGAGACCAAGTACACACTTCATTTACTTGCTAGGTTGTCCGAGCAAAGAGACCAGCAGCTCTGGTGTGCTAAGTGGTTTTGTATTGCAGATAAAAGATCACGTAGATCTTTTTAGTAGAAGAATGTAATCTCAGGAAAAGCACCGGAGATCAAATTTCTCTAGTTATCCAAAACACAGGAACAGGAGACAGTGGCTGTTCCAGCTTTTCCACACTTGTACAATGCACCTGAATTGCAAATTTGATAGGACCACCTTTAGGATAAAGAGGTCATTCAGTCTTCATGCTCTTAGCCTTTCTGTAGAGGCACATGTTTTGTTTCTTTTTAAAGCTAAGAATTACAGAGAGTTTTTTTATTAGTAAGAACTGGGCTGTAGATGTGACCTCTGGTATTGCCATTATGGTTATAGGGAAGATTCTTTTAGAAGGTATTGTTTGGTTTGGATAGTCTAGAATGTAGAATTGGAGGCAGCTGCTAATGGAACCAGTATTTTAAAGAAAGTTTAGTTTTAAAGCAAGAATACAGAGTGCATTTTCTCTGTTAACTGTACATTTATCAGGTTTTTTAAAGTTTCTTATATATATATTTTTTGTATGCAGTGTTGTAGCGGTGTTGGTCCCAACATATGAGCGAGACAAGGTGGGTGAGGTAATATCTTCTATTGGACAAATGCTTTGTGTAAGCTTGAAAGCTTCTCTTGCTCAAGAACAGAAGTTGGTCTAATAAAAGATATTACCTCAAGCACCTTGTCTCTTTAATTCTTTTTTGTTAATCTAGTTAAGATAGGGACAAAACTGCTTTTACCTACTTTTACTGCTTTTTCTCTTGCAGTTTTGGTATATTCTAAAGTTTGTATTTGTGTGTGGTAATTCTGTGTTATAAATAAATCTTTCTTTTTGTTTTATGACTTTTGAATCTGTGCAGCGTTCTAAAAGATACATTACTTGATAGCAAGTAATAACTTTCAAGTGTGTTAACCCTAAATAAAGTAGAATACCAGATGCTCCCTGGGTTATGCAAGACCCGAATTTCGACCATAATGGCAATACCAGATGTCACATCTACACCACAAATTCGCACTTACTAAAAAAGTTCCATAAGCCAGAGATAGGATTTTCGAGTTGCGGAAAATTTTGCATAACGTACGAGTATACATTTCCGACTTATGCACAATTTGACTTACGGAAGGCTTTCCGGAATGGAACGATTGCGTAAGTCGGGGGGCATCCGTAAAGGAAGTGACTTAGCCCCCGGTTAGTGCAAATCAGTTGTTACTAGCAAGCTATGCAAATAATATTTGTCAGGATCAAACCAGTTCCTGGAACAAGGTCTGTAACATTTATGTTTCTAATTTTTATACCATTGAGGTCTTGTTATGTCTTGCTGCTGTTGCCACTCTCTATGAATTTACTGGAAATTATTTTAATTTAAATCTCCGTTTTTTTGTGTAAAAATAAAATGAATAGAAGTAATATTTTCTGTTGTAGATTGAAGCAAAGGAGGTTTATACACAAAGACAAAGTCTGCTGAAAGATATTGAAATGATAAGAACCAGAGAGGCAGAACTAAAGCAAAGAATTGAAGGTTTTGAACTGTGAGTCACTCTAGGTCATGCATTTACCTCTGGTGTTGCTTTGTTTGTAGAAAGCATGTCTCAAGACGCTGCAATTTTTATGAAATTGAAATTTGTTTTATTTATCTCTAAATATGATATGCTACATTTTGAGTAATATGCAGCTGCATCTAGCAGTAGGGGCATCCTGTGCTAAGAGGCCTATTTTGTTCTCAGCAAAAGAGCCTGGCACTACTTCAGAGAGACTGAGGAACTGGACTTCTGCTTTGAAGTCATTAACTTAAAAAACAGTATGTAATCCCAGCACGAGCAAGGCAACTGTAGTGACAAATTTACATTTGTAATGTTGGTTTTGCCATGATACGTATTGTGAGTGCACATTTAATAAAAGATGTGTGTTTCTTCTGTAATTAAAAAACCCTAAAACTAATTCTTGCCTGCTTTCCAACATTCTCTAATCTGTTAGCATCTTGTGTTTTTTGTAGGCAAGAAAGAAGAAAGCTATTTCCCCACTAACATAAGTTACTTTCTTGTCTAGCCAGCAGAGGGTGCTGACAGAGTGGCAAGCTGAGCACCCTTTCTAAAATGGAAGAACTAAACAACAGCCGTACTGTAATACTTTCAGTTTTCAGCAGTTGCAAATCTGGTTGTTTATACAGTTGATCAGTCTGTCTCTTTAACAGTACAGCTTAGTATGTGTCACTTTTCATTTTTCTTAGCGAATGATAATGATAGATCTGATCAGAATTTTAAATTGCCCCAAGCTAACCCATCACACTTTTGACTTTCATAAATGTTGTGTGATTAAAAAAAACTTTTTGAAAACTCTGGCATGTCATAAATATAATTGCTCAGTGTCAGTATATTTCTCATTATGTCAGGGCTCAGAAACTTCAAGAAGAAAAAAATAAAGCTGTTGATGATGCACTTCGACATCGGGAGATAGCTGTGAAGAACATTGAGGAGACTTACGACCAAAAGCTTAGGAATGAACTCCTGAAGTAATTTGTTCTTTTGTCTCTAATAGAGAATATATATTTCACATGAGAATAGAATGCTAAAAATGCCATGGGAATTACCAATGAGAACTGTAAAAAAGCAAGACTTGAATATATAACACTTAGCATTTTTATTTTAATCAGTTTGTGACTTACTTATCTTATAAGATGTGGTGAATACATTTCATAACCAAAAGAGTTAAAACAATTATGCCTTCTAACAGGTAGAAAAAACTCACTATATGTAATGATGTTCTTCTGTCCATAGGGCTATAGAGTTTTAACAGTTCACACTTTCAGTCTCCCTATCTGTGAAGAAAAAGTGACCTGAATCTGTAGGGCTGCTGGATAGGCAGATGCAGAGTATCATTGGTGATCTCTTTTGACCAGTGCTGAAATATTGAGTAATTTGAAGAACTGAAAGGAGGCAAGGTGTATGAAGCCAGTATTAAGGGATTTTCAAGGGTTACTTGCTGAAGGGGCGGGATGAGATGCTTTTTAAAAAGGAAATGTAAAGGGATTTTCTTACCCTGAGAATTATTTTTTGAAATACCAGCTGTTTGGTGCAGACTGGTACATGTCATAGGCCATACCTTTCTGCTGGCTCCCAACTCCCTGAAAACAACCAAAGAAAACCCTGTTCTTAAAAAGTTCTTTGTCAACTAGCTTCTTTTTCCCTTCAAAAAAGTCCTCCTCTTCCCAGCAAGACCCATCTTTGTCCCCCACAAATTCATCTTGCCTAGCTCCAAAATCATCCATTTTTCCTCACCGCAAAATCCATATCTCTTCACAAAATTTTCTCCTCCTCCAAATTCAGCAGTACCCAAAAATAAATCCACTTGTACCTCCAAAATAACATCTCGACCTTCACTTCTAAAAAAATATTAATCTTGACCACTGCCTCCCAAAACTTCATTTCTGTCTGTGGTCATTGGGGCTGAAGAATTGGAAGTGATTGAGTGTTCTCCTGGATAAAAGCTGCAGGGTTTGATGCGCTGCACAGACTGGGTAGGATAAGCAATGTTCTCTGTTCCTCCCTTCTTTGCTGGGCAATGGTCACAGTTTGATTTACATGGACAATGGAGGAAGAGGCCCTATGTCATTTGTCTGTGTATTTTCCTTGCAGTTTTCATGTTTGGTGGCCAGCAGCCAGGACAGGCATCTGAGTGAGATGTGTATGGCATCAGCTGTTTGACAGTAGAAAATGATGGCACCTAACCTGAGATTCTTTTGTACTCACTCTCTCTGTGATATAAGCAGTGATCATCTGAGGCCTGCTGATTGTTTTGTTGCAAGAAAGTGCTCCCAGGACATGATATGCTCATTCCCACAGAATGAAATGAATTAGCCCTCTAGGCAGGGGGAGGAAATCCACTCACCAGCTAAACACCTGGTTATCCACAAGCTCAGCCAGGACCTATTACCTAATAATGAATAGTGCAAGCACTGCCTCTTTTAACATGCATTTATTCAAATTGTAGAGGAGAGGTATAAGGCAATTGATTTCAGTGAGAATGAAGTGTCACCTGAAACAGAGTGGCTTAGGAACAGAGGGCAGTTAGATGGATGCCACTAAGTGACCAACCTTAGGCAAACATGTCATCTCCCTGTGCCTTGTTTTACTTATCTAGTAAATTACTATTTAATACTAAAGTAACTAAATGCTAAACGGAGCACCTACCTCACAAATAGGGTTTAGTGGCTTCATTTGTTAATGTTTGTAGAGCTCTTTCAGATCTTATCAGGGACTATTTTAATGGAGAGTGTTATTTATGTTACAGTAGTGTCCAAAATATTTTAAGCACTGTACAAACACACAGGAAAACACAATCTCTGTCCTGAGGATCTTAGTCTGTATCTGCTTATTATAAAATGTATTTAGCTATCTATCAATAGCTCTAGGATCCTGTCTGACAATTAAAATGTGGCATACAAAAATTAAAGTATAAAAGCTATTATTATGTATTACAAAACTTAGAGGGAAAGAATCATTATAAATCCAAACAAAAGAAAAAATAGACACATACAGTTAATGGAACTCAGATTAATGAATTTCTGTTACAGAAAATGGTTGACTTTGGATATAAAAAGTTGGGAGACTTGTCAATAATTCAGTTTGGATTATAAAATCACATTTTTGACAATTGTATAGTTTCAATTATATATGTTTTAAAATATTTGAAAAATAATGAAGACTTAATGTGAATATTGACTGTGTTCAGTACCATTAATCTTTGCTGAGCACTGGGGATAAACTGCTCTTTTTTGTCTGGAAATCATAAAGTGAGTGATCAGAAAAGTGAGGATTTATTTATTTGTATACTCTCTTACTGCAGTCACGATTAGGGCCTCAGTGACCTGGACATTGTACAAAGACGCAGGAAGATAGGATAACTGCTTCAAAATACTTACAATTTAATTAGGGCCTGATCCTATAAAGTGTTGAGCACCCACAGCTTCCATTGATTTCAGTGGGACTTGAGGGCACTCAGCATTCTCAGGTCAGGACCTTGAAGAAGTCCACTGTAATTAGCATATAGATAGTTTGATAGGTAGTTAAAGCTGAGTCTGGGGACATTCAGAATTCTTTTGCTGTGGTGTTTAGTAACTTTTTCCCCCCCTAGATATCAACTCGAGTTGAAGGAAGAATATATAACCAGAACCACTAGGGTTACTGAAGATGAGAAAAAGAATAAAGGTAACTAATCTCTTTCAGAGATACTCAACAGCCATTGTTTATCTTGTAGTTTGTAATAAGAGGCAACAAAGCAGTATTTGTAAACAAATATAGTGTATTTAATTGAAGTTGGAGAAAGAGAGGATCATCTTTAGACTTCTAAGCTGGTGCTTTGGAAAAAATAATATATAATCATGTAATTAAAGACTGTATCATGCATATGCACAAACCTTGTCAAATTAAGGTTGCTCTGGCAACCTTAATTCTGGCTTTTCTTCACTTTTGAGTGTTTGACTTTGCAACCTTAATATTCTTTTTATGTAGTTTTTGGTGTGAGATACACATTAACCTACAGAAACTGTTTATGATCCTTACAGAGAAGGCTCTGCTGTTGCGTGAAGAGACCATTGCTGTTAATTCAAAGAAGGAAGAACTCAAACAAGTTGTATCACATGCAAAAGAGCTCGAGGTAATTGTGAGCCTGAATTTGGTTAGTACATTTGAACTGTTTTGTGTTACCTTTTCAGGAATAATATATGGTACAAAGTATATTCTTGAGAAACACCTTAAGAAGTCTGTGTGACATATTTTTTAGCTGGAGCTGGATTCAGTAAAGGCGCAGGTGCTATTGGTAAACAAACAGAATCAGTTGTTGACAGAAAAATTGAAAGAGATTGCGGACTATCCCTTGTTAAAGGAAGAGAAACTGGAGCTTCAGGTGCAAAATAAACTACTTAGACAACAACTGGAGGAGACTCGCAATGAAAACCTGCATTTCCGAGACAGTTAGTGTTTAAAATATTTTATAACTTTCCTTTCCTCATTTTACAGAAGGTTTCCATTAAAGTAAACACTTTATTTCATGACTGTTAAAAGGCTACTACATTTAAGAATATATGTAAAATGAAATTAACACTTCGCTTTAAAAAACTGTTATAATACTTGGTTTTGCTCCTGCTTATCCCTGTTTTGTCTTTTCAATTGTCTTTGTTTTTTCCAGAGTTCCTAGTATCACAAGTATTGGGTGATGATTTTTTTATTAGTGTCCCTGGACACTTCATGGGACAGTGGTAAAAGCATGTCAATTCTATTTTCTTCATCTGTTTCTCCTCAGAGGACCACAAGTCCTTAATTATAGTAGATTTTTTTATGTTTCACTTTCGAAAAGCTGGTCTTGTGGTTACAGCACTGGACTAGGAATTAGTAAACCTGGGTTTAATTCCCAGGTCTGCCACTGACTTCCTGCATGATCTCAGTCAAGTCATGTAATCTCTTTGTCTCCTTTCCCCATCTGTAAAATGGGGACAATGATCATTGTCTTGTCAAATTTACATTGTGGAAGTCTTTTATGGAAGTCTCTCACTGTTTGCACAATGGAACTCTGCATTCAGGTGCTACTGAAATACAATAATACTAATGGTTGATAATACCCTCTCTTTCCTTTCATCTCCCAAAACACCATTTTTTTTCAACCACAGCATTATTTATTGTTGTTAGTAGAGGACAAAGGCTTCTGCAAATGACTATTTTGATAGACCTGATCTCTGTAGAATAATAATCTATTGTCTTGTAATGCGCATCTGCATTTCTAAAACATGTTGTTGTGTTTGAAGACCACAGATGAGCAGTACATTCAGGTTCAGATAAGACAGGAACAAGTTGATTCAGGTAAATAACTTGCAGAGTAGAAAACTTCCTGCCTAGCTCATAACTGCCCAGAGGGAGGCACACAAAGTTCAGTCTCTAGAAAAAACAGATACCCCAAAAAGTGTATATAAATTAAGTTTTACTATTTAAGACCTATTGTAGTCAGGAAAAATATTTCAGTTTTAAGTTTCCAGGAGTTGGTTATAAATAGTGAATGTTCATTTTGAAGTATCTTATAAAATATCTCCTGATATTGTTCTTTTATGTGAAAGAGTTAACTCAGCCATCAGCTGAACATGTAGCCTGTCAGGCAGAATTGAGGAGAGTTGAACGTACAAAAAAGCTGGAACAGGATGAGTTTGAAACCCATAAACAACTTCTGGAAAAGCAACTGCAAAGTGAGGTAAACTCTTCTCTTTTCATCTTAATAGTATAAGATTTTTTTTCTGTCATTTTCTAAACACTTACACCTGTCCCATTGCAGGAGGTATTGGAGTGCTTTAATTCAATTTTTTCTTAAAAATAAATAAATACAATTTTTAAAAAATTAACCAAACAAACCTGCGTTAAACCTAAGATTTTTCAGTACTTGTTTCCTATAGGTCAATACTGCTGATGAAACTGAAAAAAAAAAAATACAAATTTGGCTGGACGTGGAAGCACTTGCTCATTTTCATCAAAATTAATGTATCTGTGCTGGTAGAAATGGAAAAATGTTGCAGCCAACACAGGAATTCTTTATTAACCCATATCCTAACGGATAAAGAGAAACCGGTCACAGAATGAAAAATTAGTCGTGGCTTAGGTACACGTGATCATGATTTGATCATATTCATAATATACAAACAGAGTAAAGTCCAGACCAGTAGTATATACATGTGGTGCTATAATAGGGCCACTTTCACAAAGCTGAAAACAGTTATGAGCCAGATCAGCTGGGAGGAAGATTTTTGTGAGAAAAATGTGAATGATAGTTGGGAATCATTTAAGAACACCTTTAGTAGATGGCCCAAAACCCACAATGGAGGAAGAAGGCCATGTTAGTTAAAAATCTGAACTGGTTTAGAGGTGAATTGAGGGCAGCTGTAAAACGTGTGTGTGTGTGTAAAACAAATGGAAGAAAGGGGAAGTTGATAGTAATGAATATAATTCAGAAGTTAGGAATTGTATAAAATTATTAAGGGAAACCACGGGACACAAGGAGAAATCTGTGGCCCACAGAGTTAAGGACAATAAAATGGAGGTTTTTAAATATATTAAGAACAAAAAGAATCCTGACAGTGGTATTGGTTTGTAACTAGATGGAAATGGTATAGTTATCAATAATAATCTAAAAAAGGCATAAGTGTTCAATAAATATTTCTGTTCTGGTTGGGGTTAAAACTGGGGTATAATCTTATATGGTGATGCTAACACTTGTTCATTCCACTGGTATCTCTGGAAGGTGTTAAACCAAGCTACTAAAGTCAGAATTTTTTAAATCAGTAGGTCCAGAGTTTTAAAAAAGCTTGCTGGACTGTTAATGACAGGTTTCAGAGTAACAGCCGTGTTAGTCTGTATTCGCAAAAAGAAAAGGAGGACTTGTGGCACCTTAGAGACTAACCAATTTATTTGAGCATAAGCTTTCGTGAGCTTACAGCTCACTTCATCGGATGCATACTGTGGAAAATACGGAAGATGTTCTTATACATACAAACCATGAAAAAACGGGTGTTTACCACTACAAAAGGTTTTCCTGCTGGAGAGTGGGGTGGGGGGAGAGAAAACCTTTCGTAGTGGTAAACACCCATTTTTTCATGGTTTGTATGTATAAGAACATCTTCCGTATTTTCCACAGTATGCATCCGATGAAGTGAGCTGTAGCTCACGAAAGCTTATGCTCAAATAAATTGGTTAGTCTCTAAGGTGCCACAAGTCCTCCTTTTCTTTTTTGGACAGTTAACGTTGATTTTCAATAAGTCTTAGAGCACTGGGGAAGTCCCAGAAGACTGGAAGATAGCTAATGTAATGCCAATATTTAGAAAGGGTAAACGGGGTGACCTGGATATTTATAGGCCTGTCAGTCTAACATTGATCCCAGCTGGGCCAGATAATGCAGTGTCTGAGAAGGGACTCGATTAATAAAGAATTAAAGTAGGGTTATGTAGTTAATGCAAATCAGTGTGGGTTTATGGAAAATAAATCCTGTTAAACTAACTTGATATCTTTTTTTGATGAGGTTACAGAATTGGTAGATAAAGATAATAGTGTTGACCTTAGACTTCTGTAAGGTGTTTGACTTTGTACCACATGACGTTTTGATTAAAAAACTAGAAATAAATATTTACTCCATTTAACATGGAACTGATTAAATGGATTAAAAACTGGCTAACTAATAGGCCTCAAAATGTGACTATAAATGGGTAGTCGTTATCAAGCAGGTGTGTTTCCACTCGGGTCCCACAGAGATCGGTTCTTGGGTCCTGTGCTATTTAACATTTTTACAGTGACCTGGAAGAAAACAAAATCATCACTGGTAAAGTTTGCAGTGTTGTTAAGTGTTGAAAGCTGGAACGTTGTTGCTGTGGTAATGCTGTTCAGGCTGCTAAGCTGTTGCAGCTGCTCAGTGCTTCTCTTCTTGGAGCTCCAATGTTATCAGCACTAGCAGATAGTGCAGCCTGCTAATTCAGCAGACCTCTATGTTACCCATAAATAGGGTCCTACCAAATTCATTGTTCATTTTGGTCAATTTCACGATCATAGGCTCTTAAATGTAAATTTCATTATTTCAGCTATTTAAATCTGAAATTTCATGGTGTTATAATTGTAGGGGTCCTGACCCATAAAGGACTTGTGGGGCGTGGGTCGCAAGGTTATTGTTTGGGGAGTTGCAGTACTTCTACCCTTACTTCTGCGTTGCTAATGGCGGCATCACTTGTCTTCAGAGCTGGGCAGCTGGAAGGTGGTGGCTGTTGGCCGAGAGCCCAGCTCTGAAGGCAGAACTGCCGCCAGCAGCAGCACAGAAGTGAGGATGGCATGGTATGGCATTGCCACCCTTACTTCTGTGCTGCTGCCTGCAGAGCTGGGCTCTCAGTCTGCAGCCACCACTCTTCTGCACGGCTGCCTTCAGAGCTGGGCAGCCGAAATAAGGTGGCATGGGATAGTATTGCCACCTTTACTTCTGTGCTGCTGCTGGTGGGGCACTGTCTTCAGAGCTCGGTGCCCGGCTAAGAGACACCGCTCTCCAGATGCCCAGATCTGAATGCAGCACAGAAGTAAGGGTGGCCATACTGCAACCCCCCCCAAAATAACCTTGTGACCCCCCCGCAACTCGCTTTTGGGTCAGGACCCCCAATTTGAAAAATGCTGGTCTCCCCTGTGAAATCTATATAGTATAAGGTCAAAGCACACAAAAAGACCAGATTTCATGGTGGGGAGACCAGATTTCATGATCTGTGACATGTTTTTCATGGCCGGGAATTTGGTAGGGCCCTACTCATAAAGAGAAGCCACAGGCATGGTTAGGTGGCAAAGGCACTCAGCCAGATTTATTGCCTTCCAGGCACAGTACTAGTGCCCTGGCTCAGTGATTACGGGTAGACTAACACATGAGTGCCAAGTTGCAAGGGGCAGTTCAGTCAGCAGCAGGAATTTTTGCTGTCCCCTCGGCCACACAAAGGGTTATGATGAGTTACACCAACATTTATAGACTGAGACAAACAACATATGTACCACCTTACCTTGTTCATACCATCTTGTAGTGGGATGGTTACCCTGCTCCTGAAATAAGAGGAGTGAGAACAGCTGGGGGAAGCAGCCACAGCTGTGGCCAGCTCAATCAGGGCCCATCTGGCTCTTGTAAGAGGGCTGGGGGCCAGGAGCTGGAGGAGTTTCACTCTAGCCTTGGAGTGAGAAGCGCTAGCTGCCTGAGAGCAAGATACCTGAAGCAGAGCGGTGCTGGGGAAGGGCAAAGGGAGCTGGGAAGCTCCAGCCTGGTAAACGCCCAGGCTGCAGGCCTTGATGAAGGCCTATGAAAAGGTACTGGGGCTGCAGAAGGGCAGCTCAAGGATAGGCAAAGGCAGCAGGTCCTAACCCCTTGTCAATGATGAATGGCCATTACAGACTGCAGTCTGCCCCAGTGAGGCAGAGAGGGGACTAGATGACTACTGGCAGTAGCCACTGAGGTAAGGTGGGTGTAGAGAGTTGGGGGTTCCCCTGGGAGGGGAGACCCGGAGTAAGAGGATACTGCTGGGGCAGAACCCTGAGATAAGGAGTACCAGGGTCTGGGAAGGACACGGGGCCTGAGGCAGGCAAGACACCAGCCAGCAGAGGTCACTCTGAGGCTGGAAAAGAGCTAATTCCCAGAATACCAGCAGGTGGTGCCGCACCGGTGAGTCTTCGCTTCGCTACATATCTATTTGTTACCTCCTCTTGTACCTTGCTCCAGATGTCTCGGGCAACACATCCCTATTCATCACTTCTGTCAAACCTTCTTACCTTGTGCTAATCAGGACGTACCTGTGCTAATCTTTTGGAATGTGTTCATATACATATGCAGTGCCTGATACTTCTTAGGAAGTGCCTGTGTTTTAGCAACACTGGACTGTAGGCCATACTTACAGAATGGGAGACTTTATCGTGGGAAGCAGTAACTCAGCTGAATATAATCAGCTGAACATGAACTCCCAGTGTAATGCTGTGGCCAAAAGAGACAGTGTGATCCTGGGATGCATAAACAGGGGAATTGAGTAGGAGTAGAGAGGGTATTTGGCACTGGTGGAATACTGTGTCCAGTTCTGGTGCCCACACTTCAAGAAGGGTGTTGATAAATTGGAGAGGGTTCAGAGAAGAGCCTTGAGAATGATTAAAGGGTTAGAAATCATGCCTTATAGTAATAGACTCAAAGAGCACAATCTATTTAGCTTAACAAAGAGATGGTTAAGGACTGACTTGATTATAGTCTATAACTATATACCGAGGGAACAAATATTTGATAATGGGCTCTTCAGTCTATTAGAGAAAGGTATAAGATGATCCAGTTGCTAGAAGTTGAAGCTAGACAACTTCAGACTGGAAATAAGACATGCATTTTTGACAATGAAGGGTGATTAATCTTTGGAACAATTTACTAAGGGTTGTAGTGGATTCTCCATCATTGAAAAATTTTAAATCAAGTTTGGATGTTGTTCTAAAAAATGCTCTAGGAATTTTTTTGAAGATGTTCTATGGCCTGTGGTATACAGGAGGTCGGACTTGATCACAGTGGTCTCTTCTGGCATTGGAATCTATGAAAAGCATTGAGAGAAAGACGCCTTCATGGGTTGAGATACCTTTTCTCATCTTCAGTACTTGTTCACATTTGTATGACAATTTTATTTTTTTTTCAAAATCTGTTTCAGGTTGAACGTTGTGCACAATTAAAGATCCAGCTGTTAGACTATGAAACTACTATCAGAAAGCTAAATGTACAGGTTGAAGATTTGAAATTGCAGCTGAAGCAAACACAGACAGGTTTGTAGTATTTATTAGATGTTTTTAAACCAACTTTATAAAGGATTTTTCATTTTTGCAAACATTTCCAATGGCTTGAAAAGTAGTTCAGATTGTGAGGGCTCAGTCTGTAACTGATAATTGCATTCCAAAACTAAAAAAAAGTTAAGGTTGTGATGTCACAAATGTAGCTACCTAAGACATCATTTATAAAACTCAAGCCTTTAAAAGCAAGGAAATGAATATTTATGGATATAATAAATCTTGCACTGTCAAGATAAACATTCCTAATAAACATAGGGAAATGAATATTCCATAACAAAACCATCTAATTTCTAACTCATTAATTGTATTTTAATGTATTATGTTTTATCTCTTGTCTTTAGAATATGAATTATTTTCTTTTAAATAATACTTTTATTTTACCAATAAAATCTGTTATGCCTTTTGTGGTGGTGGTGGTGATAATTGCATCTAGTTTAATATAAAAAGTAGGGCTGTCGATTAATCGTAGTTAACTCATGATTAACTCAAAAAATTAATTACGATTGAAATTTATTAAATATTTTGGATGTTTTTCTACATTTTCAAATAAATTGATTTCACTTTGTATTCTGTGTTGTAGTGCTCACTTTATATTTTTTATTACAAATATTTGCACTGTAAAAATGATGAACAAAATGAAATAGTATTTTTCAGTTCACCTCATGCAAGTACTGTAGTGCAATCTCTTTATCATGAAAGTGCAATTTAAAATGTAGGTTAACTGCACTCAAAAACAAAACAGTGTAAAACTTTAGAGCCTACAGTTCCACTCAGTCCTACTTCTTGTTCAGGCAATTGCTAAGAGAAACACGTTTCTTTACATATACAGGAGATAATGCTGCCCACTTCTTAATTACAATGTCACCTGAACAGGCGTTCGCATGGCACTGTTGTAGCTGACATCGCAAGAGATTTATGTGCCAGATGAACTCAAGATTCATATGCCTCACATGTTTCGGCCATTATTCCAGAGGACATGCTTCCATGCTGAAGACTCTGGTTAAAAAAATGTGTTAATTAAATTTGTACCTGAACTCCTTGGGGGAGAATTGCGTGTGTCCTGCTCTGTTTTACCTGCATTCTGCCATATATTTCATGTTATAGCAGTCTCGGATGATGACCCAGCACATGTTGTTCATTTTAAGAAAACTTTCGCTGCAAATTTGACAAAATGCAAAGAAGATACCAATGTGAAGTTTCTAAAGATAAAGCTACAGCACTCGACCCAAGATTTAAGAATCTGAAGTGCCTTCCAAAATCTGAGAGGGATGAGGTGTTGAGCATGCTTTCAGAAGTCTTAAAAGAGCCACGCTCTTATGCAGAAACTACAGAACCCAAATAATCAAAAAAGAAAATCAGTCTTCTGCTGGTGGCATCTGACTCAGATTATGAAAATGAACATGCGTCAGTCCACACTGCTTTGGATTGTTATCAAGCAGAACCCATCATCAGCATGGATGCATGTCCCCTGGAATGGTGGTTGAAGCATGAAGGGACATATGAATCTTTAGAGCCTAGAAGTCCAGATATTTACATGCCAAATGCACTGAAGTTTGACATTGTTTTATTGAATGCAGGGCTTTTTGTACATAATTCTACATTTGTAAGTTCAACTTTCGTGATAAAGAGATTGCACTACAGTACTTGTATTAGGTGAATTGAAAAATACAGTTTATTTTTTTTACAGTGCAAATATTTGTAATCAAAAATAAATATAAAGTGAGTGCTGTACACTCTGTATTCTGTGTTGTAATTGAAATCAATATATTTGAAAATGTAGAAAACATCCAAAAATATTTAAATAAATGGTATTGTATCATTAACAGCGCGATTAATGACTATTAACTTTTTTAATTGTGTGATTAATCACGATTAATTTTTTTAATCACACGATGGCCCTAATGAAAAGCACATAATATTTTTTGATGAAATAATGTTTATACTGCATGTCAACTGTCATTTGAAGCTGATCAGTGTGTCATAGTGTCATTTTGTAACTTTTGTTTTTTACTATTATTTCATGATTAACTCTTTACTTCGCTAGTGGAAGGCACAGTACTGATTTATTTTGGGTTAGAGATAAGGTTGTTGTGATTAAACAAACTTTTCTTTGTATTTGATAAGAATACTTTTATTATGCAATATGTGTTGACCTCTGACAAAGTTACTTCTCTACAGATGGTATTTGCAGATATTTCTGCTGTGTTTTCTTAACCTAGAAGTACTAACACTGAGACAGTTAACACAAGCAATATAACTGATTTTGGGTAACAGTTTTTTCTTTTAATCTTTAGTGGAAGGGAGTCACCTTAAACTTTACAGTGAAAGCAATATCTTGGTGTTCTGTTGTTTTGATTTTGTTGTTTTAATAGACTAATATATTGGGTATCTAAGCATTATGAGGGCATGCCCCTGTTCCCATTGAAATCAGTGGCACATGACTGGGCTCTAACAGTTTGCAAGTTTAATTAAATTAATTTTGTTTTGCAGCTGTTTTTAGTAATGTGTGTTTGGATTTTATATATATTATATATATATCAGTTAACAATTCATATTTTTGTCTCAATTAAAAATAGCAGAAACAATACTTATTTTTTTAGGCTGACAGCCTGCATGCCATGTTTCACTTTGATATAATTTAAAACAGACAAGTTATAAACCATTGAAAAATGGGGTTGAGTGGCTTACTAGAGCTGCTGTCATCAAGTGTCATTGCAGTCTATGGAATTGTCTAATAAGTGTGTATTATTAAGGTGCAGTGATGACTGAAGTAGTAGCAGAAAATATGAAACTTTTTTCTGATTTTATTTTTTGTCTCAATTTGATCTAAATATTAATTTCTGTAAACATAAATAATTGATAACTTGCAACTGTTAGCAGCAACATCAAATGTAGTTGAATACAACTTTTTATTTTTAATGGTTATGATTTACGTTTCAAATGAAAAACCCTTGTATTTAAAATCCACTGTCATCAATTTCTCATCTTAATCATGTGACTAAATCATAATTCAAATAATTTCTTCTGATTTTTCCTGAAATTCATGGGTGCTTTTTTCTTTCTGTCTCTGTGTGTGAAATTTGTACTTACGTAGTTCTAGAGAATGAAGTGTATCGGAATCCCAAACCTTCTCTTGTTGATCGTTCTGTCGTTGACTTCACTGGTGATAGGATTGTACCTCATGACATTTATGTAGATGGTGTTTTCTTGAAGAACCGGGCTGTTACTGATATTGTTGTGGCGGATGATGTTCCAAACGTTGGTTATCGCCAGCATTCACGGACCTGCAACTCTTCTCCAGATTCTGACCTTGAATTTGTCGCCAAAACCAAAGCTAGGATAAAAGAACTAGAAAAAGAGGCAGAGTATTTGGAAGAGGCCTACAGAAATTACCAGCATAGAGTCATTCAAGGTGCAGTTGCAAGCAGGACACCAACAACGTCCCCTCTAGCTTTACGAAATGCTGTTAGATTCCCTTTGGCTTCTCAACACAGAGTTATGTTCGTAGAAGACAACCTTGGCTCTCAGCATTTCTCTCTTAGCAGTCCGAGAGGTCCAAGATATGTGACACCTGGGCATGATGATGTCTTGAAAAATCATCTAACTACTCCACGAAGAAGAGTCTCTTCCTCCAGACGTCTTTCTTCTACTCCTCTTTCCAAAGTGGAGAGAAACGTCAATAGCCATATACTTCCAGAAGGTAAACCATTACTGCTTCTTTGTGGTGGTGTTTTTCTAGTAAGATTCCATTAGGAAACTTAAAATTGAGAATCTTTTGTACGTTTATCACCTGTTTAAGGGCAAGAGAAAGCTATAGGCAAAATATGATAAGTGAATTAGAAACTAAGCCTTTGAAAGCAAGTGTTTTAGAAGTGTGTGTGGGGGTGTGTGTCAAACCTACTGCCCTTAATTTAAGCAGTTTTTTAAATGGATAATTAGAGAATGCCCATATGATCCACTCTAGCTGTGGTAATCAGTGTTTTATTCAAAAGCAGATCCTAAGTGTAACTCTGCTTGGAAGATTAACTGGGATTTCACAGCTGCTGTAAACCTCCCTGCATGGCCTCATCTATTTATATAGTCAGTGGAGTTGCATGGGCAGTAATGGAGGGCAGAATTAGACTCGGCTTATTTGGGCTGCTAAAATGGTTCATTGTCCGTTTTGAAAATCTGAATGACTATAGTTCCCCTCTTTGTTGGTTTTTGTAAACAATATCTAATGTTTGCTCCTGTTACTGTGACATTGCTTCCACACATTGGTGAGCAATTGTGAATTACAGGAAGATGGCTTTTAGATTCTGGGCATGATTGGAACATTGTGGTTTTCTGTTAATGTTGCAGTACCCTATAATTGTAATTTCAGAAATGTGTTTTAAAAAAAGAAATCTAATATTTCTTCTTCAAGTAGATGTAGTTATGTCTTCCACTTAGGTGTGTGCCTACCCAGCTCACCAGAGCTGGAGAATTTTGCCTAGCAGTACCCATAGATGGCGGCACTTGCGCTTCGTGCCTATAGCCCCTCCCCTGGCTATATGAGGTGGTGCCACCCCGACCCCTCTCAGCTGCTTCTTGTAGCCCGTGGCTGGAGTCAGAGCTCTGTGTGGTTCCTAATCTCACAACCTCTTTATTTCTTAGTGACTTTTCTAGTTGTATATAGTTAATTACTACCTTTAGTTTAGTGTTAATTACCTTTCATTTAAGTATTTCCCTGGTGATGCCTTCACCGAGGTTTAAACATTGTCTGTTGTGTAGGGGAGCAATCCCCAACAATGATGCTTGCTGTGCTTAGGCAAAGTCTGCGTTGAGCAGTGCTGGTTGATTTGCAAATCGTTCACAAAATGGACTCAGATGGCCTTCATCCTCAGGGATCTTCATCTAAAGCAGCACCTGCTTGAACAGGCTATGCAGCCATCATCATCACTGAGATCTATGTTTGCCCTCATGTTCTGAGAGTGCTGCAGCTTCATGTTCTGGAACTCATGCTTCTCCAAAGAGAGGGAGGAATCGCTCCTCATTGAGTGTGCTGAGGAAAAGGTCGCATAAGACTGATTGAGATTTGCTGCAGATCACATGAGGACTCATCTCTCTCCTCCCAAAGGAGCATGGTATGAATGCTGGAGTGTGGGAGGGAGCAGGTCCTGTCAACTGGTCGCTAGTATCACTCAGGAAGGTCAGAAACCCCGTACTGTTGACTCTGGTTCCGGCCCTGGGGCGTCTGTTGAGTCCAGTACCAACAAAGGCGATGCTGGCACCGGCTGTTTCCAGATCAGGTGGCAATGGACCTCATCTTCCTTTCTGTCCCAACCTTTCCCTTGGTCCAGGACTTTGCCAGGGCTGTATCGTTTATAGCTCTGTTGGGCTGCTGAACCTGTGGATCTGTTGGCATCGCACTCAGTGTTTCCCTTCCATGGTCACTGGAAGCAGGGCCGGTACCGGGCTCAGTACTGGCATCAGGAACTTCTTTGGCACCCTTGTTGTCGATGCCACCAATGTTACTGGGGTGGTACTCACTGTTCTCCACTTTGGCATCATCAGTCAACTTGGTACTGCTGCCAACATTGGGATCAATATTGCTTCTGACACCAGAAATTCTGGGAGGCATATTTGGTGTTTGTGGTACTGTTTTCACTGTTGGTACCAGTTCCCTCTTCGTTCTCCACTACAGTTGAGTCTGACTGGTTGCTCGCACCCTTGTGCTGGCTCCACCTTTATCCCCTGAAACCTGGGACTCCTTGACATCCAAGTCGGGATCTTCTTCCACTCTATCTCTTCATTGCCTGACCTGCATTGGTGGCCATTCATGGAGCATTATGGGTACCAGGATTAGCACTGGTCTTCTGGCCTGGCGCATATGGGCCACCGATGTTTAACCCCTACTAGTGGCCTCTATGGAATCTGTGGGCTGCTTCTTGGTCATGGAAGTCCCACTTCTCATCTTTCTGTAAAGCAAAATCACTGGGCAGGTGTGGCTGTAACCATCGGTCTGCCACAGGCCCAGGCACTGGTGATCTTTCCCCTCATGGAGCCTCCAGAGTCATCCCATTAGGACTGTCAATCCTGGAGCAAGCTCTGGCTCTGGCACAGTTAACCGCTTCATCTTTGTCCCTAAACGATTCTGAAGTGCCTGGCTCTTCCTCCCCTTTGGCATAGGAGGATTTCAGGGTGTACCTTTTGCGGCACTGTCAAGGTTCCTCCCCCACTCTGAACTCTAGGGTACAGATGTGGGGACCTGCATGAAAAAACCCCCTAAGCTTATCTTTACCAGCTTAGGTCAAAACTTCCCCAAGGTACAAAATATTACACCCGTTATCCTTGGAATGGCCGCTACCACCACCAAACTAATACTGGTTACTGGGGAAGAGCTGTTTGGACGCGTCTTTCCCCCCAAAATACTGCCCAAAACCTTGCACCCCACTTCCTGGACAAGGTTTGGTAAAAAGCCTCACCAATTTGCCTAGGTGACTACAGACCCAGACCCTTGGATCTTAAGAACAATGAACAATCCTCCCAACACTTGCACCCCCCCTTTCCTGGGAAATGTTGGATAAAAAGCCTCACCAATTTGCATAGGTGACCACAGACCCAAACCCTTGGATCTGAGAACAATGAAAAAGCATTCAGTTTTTACAAGAAGACTTTTAATAAAAAATAGAAGTAAATAGAAATAAAGAAATCCCCCCTGTAAAATCAGGATGGTAGATATCTTACAGGGTAATTAGATTCAAAAACATAGAGAACCCCTCTAGGCAAAACCTTAAGTTACAAAAAAGATGCACGGACAGAAATAGTTATTCTATTCAGCACAATGCTTTTCTCAGCCATTTAAAGGAATCATAATCTAACACATACCTAGCTAGATTACTTACTAAAAGTTCTAAGACTCCATTCCTGTTCTGTCTCTGGCAAGAGCAGCATACAGACAGACCCTTTGTTCCTCTCCCTCCTCCCAGCTTTTGAAAGTATCTTGTCTCCTCATTGGTCATTTTGGTCAGGTGCCAGCGAGGTTACCTTTAGCTTCTTAACCCTTTACAGGTGAGAGGAGCTTTCCCCTGGCCAGGAGGGATTTCAAAGGGGTTTACCCTTCCCTTTATATTTATGACAGGCACATAGCTGCTTCCCTGGGTATTCAAGCCAAGTTTCTGCAGGAGAACACACGTAGGTTGTTGTATAACCTGCAGCCTCCCTGTTAACGATGAACTCCTATAGCCTGCTGAGGTTCTCTGGAGCATGCCAGCTTTGATACAGCCTACTGTGGATCGCATGGAGAACCGTTGCTTTGTTTCAGTGCAGGCATTTGAAGGTTTTTACTCCCATCTGACCACAAATTCTCTCGTCGTAACCACAGTGAACTATAGCGGCTAGCAGGGCATATTCAAATCCACTCCCAAGGTTAAGGACTCTAAACAGATGGACCTGATAGGTAGGAAGACATACACCTCCTGTCTATGCGTGTTGCAGATGCGTGTTGCTAACCGTCAGGCATAGTTACCCTAAAATTTAGATGCTAATTAAATTACCTACGCATTTGTCTAATTTATCAAAAAGGGTAAACAGGGTTGTGGCCTGCCCTAAAGGAACTGCCAGAGTATTACCAGGGGGCTTGTCTCTGACCCGCAGAGGGCTTCCCAGAGCAAGCTAGTCTTGCTAACCCCAGAAAGGACACAGATACAGCCTTCTGCTCAAGAATAGACACACAAGCAGTAATTCTTTGAAAACTGAAATAATCGTTTATTGAAGCAATTAGGTATTTACAGAAAAACAAGAAGAAATGAAAAGGAGTACTTGTGGCACCTTAGAGAGACTAACATTTGAGCATAAGCTTTTGTGAGCTACAGCTCACTTCATCGGATGCATGCAGTGGAAAATACAGTGGGGAGATTTTATATACACAGAGAACATGAAACAATGGTGTTACCATACACACTGTAACGAGAGTGATCAGGTAAGGTGAGCTATTACCAGCAGGAGAGGGAAAAAACCTTTTGTAGTGATAATCAAGGTGGGCCATTTCCAGCAGTTGACAAGAATGTGTGAGGAACAGTGGGGGGGAGGAGGAATAAACGTGGGGGAAATAGTTTTACTTTGTGTAACGACACATCCACTCCCAGTCTTTATTCATGCCTAATGTAATGGTGTCCAGTTTGCAAATTAATTCCAATTCAGCAGTCTCTCATTGGAGTCTGTTTTTGAAGTTTTTTTGTTGAAGAATTGCGACTTTTAGGTCTGTAATCGAGTGACCAAAGAGATTGAAGTGTTCTCCGACTGGTTTTTGAATGTTATAATTCTTTACGTCTGATTTGTGTCCATTTATTCTTTTACGTAGAGACTGTCCGGTTTGGCCAATGTACATGGCAGAGGGGCATTGCTGGCACATGATGGCATATATCACATTGGTAGATGTGCAGGTGAACGAGCCTCTGATGGTGTGGCTGATGTGATTAGGCCCTATAATGGTGTCCCCTGAATAGATATGTGGACACAGTTGGCAATGGGCTTTGTTGCAAGGATAGGGTCCTGGGTTAGTGTTTTTGTTGTGTGGTATGTGGTTGCTGGTGAGTATTTGCTTCAGGTTGGGTGCTGTCCGTAAGCAAGGACTGGCCTGTCTCCCAAGATCTGTGAGAGTGATGGGTCGTCCTTTAGGATAGGTTGTAGATCCTTGATGATGCGCTGGAGAGGTTTTAGTTGGGGGCTGAAGGTGAT